AGACTGTGCCACATGTAGCTTCTTGAGCCTCAGATCCCTTGTTTGAAAGTAGAAATGCTCGGGCCTCTGGGGTGCCACAGCAGGCTGCTGTCAGGATCAGGTGAGGGGCTACATGTGAGTGCCTTGGAAATGGAAAGCACTGGATGTGCTTACTGCACACATCTCCCTGGAATATGATGAGACATGCTTTACTGTAGGACAGTATCCAGCTGCTTTTCAAAGTTAGTGACATGTGTCACCTGTGTCCAGATGTCAAAGGGAGTGGGTGCTGAAGGACAGTGGCAGGTGGACACGTTTCCAAAGCAAGTGCTGCTTCAGAGAAACGACTCTGTTTACTGCCAAGGTGATGGGGGCGGTGCAGGTGAGCTGCAGAGAAGTCAGGATGAGGGTATAGACCTGCCAGGAGCAAGCCTCTGCCCAGGACTGAATTCTGGGGAAGCTCAAAGCCAAGGAGTCCAGTGGATGTGGAAATAGAGGAATGATAACTACACTGCCCATTAAAAAAAGACATTTTGTCTTGGCATTTGAAGAAAAACCCTTTGATTGACCACGAGCTTACAGCCTCTTTGCCCTTGGATCTAGTGAACCAAATCATCTATTTCTCACATCTCCATAAAAGGCAAAGAAATTATACTCAAAATCAGTACTTCTGTGTTTTCTTCACGTGTTCACTTCAGATTCAAGTCTGGCTTGGAACTCTCCTTGTTTGACTGTTTTTCCCCCTCATTTTCTTCCTTGTAAAATAATATTTATTGGGTGTTTTTCTGTTCACAAAAGTAGTACCCACTATGGACATTTTGGAGCTGCAGGAAAGTCAAGGACAAAGTCCTAGCCATGCCAGGGTCACCTGGCCCTACTCTTTCCAGAGGGGTGGGCTTCCTGCTTTCATTTCCTAGTTTCTGTCCTGAATATTATGTTATATTGCCTCCTGTATAAGAAAGCGTGTATGAGGATATAGTCCACACCGAAGCAGCTAGAAACTGTATGTGGTGATGTCCAGAAAGCAGACACACCTTTTATGTCCATGCAGGTGCTCGCTTCTTTATATGGGAGGAGTATTGTGCCGCTGTCCTTGCTGGCAAATCTGGATGCTGTCCCACTCTGCACCACGGCCTGTGTGCATGTAACATCGGTCCCGTGAGGTGCAAGAGGTTGTGCGTTGACACTGAACTTTGTGGGATTTCTCTGGGCTTCCTGAGCGCGACACTTTGAACCAAAGAACATTAAATGTAGCTGTAAGGCCAACTTGATTTTTCTTTTTTTAGGAAAGGGGCCTTCCTTCTCTACCTCAGCGCATTCGCTGGCTACAGTCATGTCCAGTTAGGGTGCTGGATAGAGTCAGCTTGTCATAGGCACTCGGCACAGTCGTCATGGAGCAGAGGCACAGAGCACCTGGAGATTTCTGGGACGGCCTTGAAAGAAAGAGAAAGTGTAGTGCCTGCATTCACGCAGTCACAAAGTAGAGGCACCTCTCAACCAACAGCTTGTCTGTTTGGCCCTTCTGTTGACCAAAGCCAGGTTCTTCCTTAAACCCCGCTCTGATTGTAAAACCACCTGCACCCCCACCTCTGAGGTGGTTCCCCCCGGCTCTGTGTCTGCTGTGTGTGCTCCTGTGGTTCTGTGATGGTCCCTTGCTGAGCTCCTCTCCCTCTTCCTTGAGTAACCGTCAGGCGTCCCTAAGCCGTAGAGAATGTCTCTGCTCTGTCTTCTCCCGGAGCCCCGCCCGCAGCCTCACCGGCCTTGTTACTGTGAGTTTTCGGCATGTCCTGTCAGCTCACCCCCTTCGGTCTTACAGTCCAAAGTGTGCCGGCCCTCCCCCCCGCTGTGGCCTGAACCCCTCTGTGGGGATGGAGGGCGGAAAGAAAGGGGGTGGTTGGCCCTCCCTGGCCTGAAGGGGGCATGACACCCCAAGTGGTGGAAGTCGCCTCAGTGTAGCTGTGTTTCCCCCAACACATCCTGGCTCTGAATTAGTCACCAGGCCAGGTGTGGCCCTTATACCCTCCGAGCTGCTTCCTGCAGGCCTGGCAGGGCCACAGATGCCTCCTCAGCCCTCAGCCCTGCCCCAAGGTTAGTTTCACCTCGAGCACACTCAGGTTTGCTGCGTGACCCCAGGTTTTCCCTTGAAACCTAAAGGTGTGATTGGCCACGTGCTCAGTGCGGTCTGTGGCGCAGAAGCAGACAGACCCGTCCAGGGCCTTTGGGCTGTTTGAGGAAGGAGCCCACTCGGTCACCCTCTGCTGATACCCCGAGGGGGCGAGAGGACGCAGGAGCCCCGGAGCGCCCACCGGCGCGAAGGGAGTGAGCTGGGCCTGCTCTTGTTCCGTCCCGTGCTGGAAAAAGGACTTAATTCATTTGTAGACTTTGTTCCCTTGTTTCTGCTTTTCCATTTCTTGTATTTTTTTTTTTCTTTTCCTCCTGTTGTTCCTTTCTCACTTTTTATGCTTTTTGTCCTCTGCTTGTCTTTTATTTCACCTCCCTGTCCCTCTCCACTTCCAAATTCCTCCTCCTTTTTCCTCTTCCTTTTTTGTCTTTCTCCGTCTCCTGCTCCTCCTCTTCCTTTGTTTGGTCCTTTTTGAAGTTGAGCCCAGTGGCGGGACTCCGCGGCGTAGACCTCTCTCCTTCTGCCCTTGCTGTGTCCAGGAAGGTAACGTAACTTCCCCAACCTCCTGCCCGCTGCCTCGCAGGGTCATGGCACCAGTAGCCACACAGGGACCCGACACCCCAGCTCTTTCTCTCTCTCTGACACCCGATCGCCCTGTTACAAAACCCCATGAGTATGTGGCAGTTCCTTACAAGGTACAGTATCCCTTTGACCGTCTCGGGGGAGGGCCGGGCGCGGAGCGAAGCCAGCAGAGCGCCCCATGGGGTGGGGCCCCCTTCGTGGGTGGACCCTTCGTCCCGAGTCCAGCAGCTAGAGGGGCCAGGCGTCCAGGCCGCCATTGCAATGGGTGGAGTCGAGGAATACTGTCCTTACAAAGACTGGTCTACACAAATGCCCCCGAGTTCTTTTTCAAAACAACCACTAAGAGCAAACTTCTCTCCCCCGTGTCTTGCCGAGTGTGCGTGTGTGTTTTTTTAAGTTTGTCTGATTTGAACTCTGTTGTGGTGACAAGATTGTCCTTGAAAAAGGCATGTGGGAAGGGCAGGGGAGTGTGGTCCTGACTAACCCTCACTAACCTCTTACTCTGCTCTCCATGGCTCTCACATTTGACTTCTCCCCACCCCACCATACACCTCTGCTCATCGGCTGTCAGCAACCTCTGCCAGAGCTCATGAGCGGCGTTCGGATGTCTCCCAGAGGGATCGTGGTCTTGGCACACAGGAGGCGGGCGGGAGGGGGAGACCCCCCAGTGCGTCCGGGGCTGGCCGCACTGACCGCTTGCATGCCTCAGGGCTTCATCTCCCCTGGCCATGAGGGCACACTGTGCAGAGACGCTCAGAAAGGAATGCATGGAACTGAGCCGCAGGCTGCTTAAAAGCCAAAGAACCAAGTCCATTGGGTTGGGTGAGGAGAACACCGGTCCCCAGACACCCCGGCCTGCGGTCCTCCGCCGCAGGCTCCACTGGCTGGGAGGGAGCGCCCATGCTTCAGAGTAGGGCTCAGGGGCAGGACTTCCCCCAGGGCACATGGCTGCATGTGCACCGGGCGCGGGGCGCAGACACTAACCCCCCGCTTGTGTGAACGTCCCCCGTTTCTGCCTCGCCAGAGTGTGGCCCTGTGAGAGACTAACTGGCTTGGGCCCCATGCATTTCTGGCAATCACTGCAGACAGAGCGCTGTCAGCAGTGTGCCGGCAAGGCCACGGGAACAACATAGGCCAGCAGTGAGGACGGAGCTTGCTAGTTGACAGTCGTCCACCTGAGGGTGTGTTCATATGCCCCCGGGTCTGGTCGTTACTGGACTAGAACATCCAACCAAATGACTCATAGAATGACTTTGAGAAACTTCCCTGGTCCAGTGCCTCTTAGCCCGGGGCCCATGACTGCACTTCAGGAAGCCCGTGACCACCCTGAAGTTCTGGACAAAATTGCTGGAAAATTACATAATGCACATGCATTTTTCTAGGAGGAGCATCCCTAGCTTTCCTGAGATTCTCAGGTGGGTTTGAAAGTCAGAAATATTAGGAACCACTAACATAGCCTCTTTTCCTTTGGGCAGACCCACACCATGGCCGTGAGCTGCTTTGTGCTCCAAGGAAAAGGAGTTTGTTCCCTCCTGGGTGGTTTGATTTCTTGGAATGTTCCTCCCATTTTCCTGTGGGAAGAAACAGTTTGCCCGACAGAGTCAGGGTCACGGAGGTTTTAGTATCAGCCATGTGTTGGCGCAGGACACCTGAGTGTCCAGCCCCAGAGCCACCACTGGGGTGGGCTCAGAGCAGGGGGTAGTCCCCTTATTTAGTCTCAAGGGTCTGCTGGTATTTCTCTGTTTTCTGAGAAACCTACCCGCGATGGGGTTTGCTGTGTACCCCATGCAGGATTCGCTGGGACAACATCCGTTGGCAAGCCTGCCCAACTGGCCACAGATTGAGAAGAGGCACTGCCCTGATCACGGTGTGAAGAGATGAGGCTTTAGTACCATTGGCCCCAGGAAGGATCAGGGTTCATGAGTGTAAAGGACGGCACAGGGTAGTTTATAATTCACCCTGGCCACGTTCATGGACTCGAAGACCTAATAGATAGCAAGTATCAAATATTAAATGAACAAAAAGGGGAAAAAAGGACAGAGCACTTAAAACACACCAAAAGAAAACCATTGAGCAGAAGAGGGTCAAACAGGCCACAACCGGGAACTGAGGGAGGTGAGGGCCAGGCAGAGGCAGGACAGAGGGAAGCGCAGACGTGGGGCCCCCCTCCGAGGCTGTAGGCAAACGTGGACCAGGCTTGGGAGTGTTCCCGCAGCATCTTGCTCGGCTCTTTGCACATTTGCCCCAGTGTGGTGACTCCTACCGGCCGGGAGACGGCAGACACTCCCGGGGCCTGACGCACCCTCTCTCTTGGCAGGCATGGGCAAGAAAGACGACCCCAAGCTGATGCAGGAGTGGTTCAAGCTGGTGCAGGAGAAAAATGCCATGGTGCGCTACGAGTCGGAGCTGATGATTTTGTAAGTGGCTTTAGATTGGGGACACAGCTAAGGGGGGGCGGGCATCAGCTCAGTACCTGTCACTACAAGAGCACAGCTCCTTCCTCATTTGGGGAGCGAGGAGAGTTGGCCTCCAAGTGACTATCGCTTGTTTCCCTCTGGCCCCCTCCAATCCCAGTGCCCGGGAGCTGGAGCTAGAAGACCGGCAGAGCCGACTGCAGCAGGAACTCCGGGAGCGGATGGCCGTGGAAGGTAAGGGGGAGGGGTGGGGTGCACCGGGGGTGCTGGGCATGCACCTGCTGCCCCCGGACCTTTCAGCCTTAATGTCTTTGGCTACTGCCCAGATCATCTGAAGACCGAGGAGGAGCTGTCTGAGGAGAAGAAGATCCTGAACGAGATGCTGGACGTGGTAGAACAGAGAGACGCCCTCGTGGCCCTACTGGAGGAGCAGCGGCTGCGGGAAAAAGAGGAGGACAAGGACCTGGAGGCCGTCATGCTGTCCAAGGGCTTCAGCCTGAACTGGTCGTGAGCTCCTGTCCACGCGCTGGCTGGCTGGCTGGTCTGTGGCATCTGCCTGACCCGGGCTGGGTTCTCCCAAACCACCAGATCCAGGATCTGAGAAGGCCTGGCACCTCCTGGGAGTCTGCACTCAAATGTCCACGTGCCTCTTGAAAGCAAGTCAGGCGTCACCGCTGTGGGGAGCCCCAGGCGAAGATGGTTATCGGAGGTGGATCGGCCTCCCTGGAGAGACCCATCGTGACTGCCCGCTCTGGAGAGAGAGGAGCATGGAGCGTTTGACTCTGCCATGAGAAAAGAAAAGCCTGCTCGCTCCCTGAGGACTCACGCTGACTAGCGCCCCTCTTCAGCTCGCGAGTTCGACGAAAGAAAGATGCTGCTCCCTCCCTGTCCAGACCCAGCTGCCAGAGCCCTCCGCAGAGGGAAGGGGCTGAGGTGCTCATGCTCCCTGCAGCGCCACCAAAGAAATGAAGAGGACACCCCAGGAAAGCAAGATGGGAATCAGGACTTGGGAGCAGGACAGTGGCGATGGGGCCATACCCAGGCCCGCCCCGCAGGGAAGCCGAGGGTGGACTGGCTCCAAATCCATTATGCAAGTAAGGAGACTCGAGGGGTCTGCCCCCCGCCCCACCCCACACACTGGACCCCAGTGGCCAGATGCCTTGGCCGAGGCCCGGGTCTGCGGACTGCTGCATTTTGCTTTTCACAACCATTTTGACACTGGAAAATCCTGACTTTGGGGGACAGGGGTGAGGCCCTACGTTGCAAGCCCCCAGCTGACGGACAGGCGTTGTCCCTGTTCAGGCTTCACCTGGGGCAGGAGGCTCTCTTTCTCCTTGGTGTTTTTCCTGTGTTTGCACATTGAAATGAAGGTGACAACCTGGCAAGACGCTCAGCTGCTTCAGGCCCTTTTTGTCAATTAACTTATTTTTTTAATACTTGAAAAGAAGCAACTTCATTTTTATATCTTTACTAGAGACACTGATCACCTGGCACCCAGGGTTGGCACGACAGAGGTGTCCCTGCACCCCACACTGCCCGTCCACACTGACAACGCTCATTACAGCCGTCTATTTATTAGCCTCCTTCGTGGTGTACTGTCCGGCTGGCGTCAGGGAGCAGCTGAGGCCCTCGTGTGGTCCTTGCTCCCGCTCTTCTGTCCCCTGGTGTGCTGTGCCGCCCCTCCTCCCTTCCCGGCCCCCATTCTCACTCTGGCACCAGACTCCCACACCTGCACCAGCCGCTGTCCAGAACACATTTTAACACTGTGTGTGGCCGCTCGCCTGCCTCTTCCTGGTGGAATCCTGGCTGGGCAGAACCCATTTCTTTTTCTCAGTGTTGGTACCAGGCTTTCACCTCCCATAACACATTTATTAAAGAAAAATTTGGGGTGCATCCTCTTTCGGGCTGGCTGAGACCATGCATGGTGGGACCTTGTGATCCATCTGGCCAATGAGGATTCCCTCAGCGCAGCCGCAGATCCAGCCGCATAGAAATGTGGGTGCTGGGCCTTGGCTGGGGCCTCACAAGCTGGTGAGCAGCTCTCGCCCTCTGTTCCTGAGGGCCTTGAGTACCTCCCCAGCCCCAGATCGTCATGGGGGGACAATGATAAGCACCATGTCACTAGCTCTCTGAGACAACCTCATCATTTCTCCTGGCTCACCCGAGGCTGGCTGTGTGCAGCTGGCAGCACCGCTGTCCTAGAACACCGAGCACAGAGAGCCCGTCTCATCCACCAACAGAATTAGCACAGAGTCTGCCCGGGGAGGATCCATCTGGGCCAGGACAACCTGGAAGGATCCTCCAGCCAACTCCTGCTGCAGAGGGGCCCGTGCAGAGAGAACAGAGGCCTGGCAACTCCTCGAGATGCCACAAGGGCAGGGCATAGCGGGGTCAGTGCAGACCTCAGAACCACACCGTGCCTCAACTTGAACTTTCACTCTGACTACAAAGGAACAAAGAGCCTGTCTGCTTCACTTTGTCCGAAAGCTGCCATCTCTCTCCTGTGGAAGTTCAGGAGACATGCCCCTGGCCACCTCACAGTCCTGGCTTCTTCACATCTGTTTTCTGATGAGGCAGAGTCTCCATTTCTCTTCTCTTAAAAAAGGGAGTGAGGAGGGTGTTCTTTAAACACTTTAAAGTGTTTTATCTTTAAACCCGACCTCCCATTAAAACCGAACTTGGGACAGGACCTTCCTCTCCTGCGTGGCCTTTTCCCCGACCCTTTCCAGCTGTTAAATGCCACCGTAGCTGACCAGGCCCTGGGAGAGCTGCCTCCATCTCCCGCTAACACAGAACAAGGAAGGCTCAGCTCCAAGTGGCCCCGTGGGCTCGGAGCACCGATACTGCCATCTGCCCCAACTGCCGGCCAGTCTTTAGCACCTCTGCATCCTTCCGAAACACACGCTGCTGCCGCAGTTGCTAGAAAGAGGCCGAAGAATACAAAGAAGCCTCACAAATCCGCAAGCCTGCAAAATGTCCCCCAGCTCTCCCCTCCCGACAGCGTGACGTCAGATCTGGCCAAGCACTTTCTTTCTAAACTCCCATTTGATGACCACTAGTTTACGGTTTATTTTAGTGCTCTGGTCACATGCTGCATGAAATGTTTTCTAACTCTGGAAATGCATGCATCTCCACGCAGGCTTTCCCCCAGGACTACATCCCCTTGAGGGGGCCTGGGAGAGCAGGGGGTATCTCTGAAGTGCGGGGTTTGAGGGAGGCCAAGCACAAGGCCAAGAGAGTGGCACCGAGCTTCAGTGTCGGTGGGAGAGGCAGTGGGCACCACCCCCGGTCCGAGGGTGGCCACCCGCCAGCTGATTCTGACCACCAACTATTCTTTACCCCTTCAAGACAGAAGACATTTTTCAAAGGGGCAAGAAAGAGAGAGTTTAAAGAGATTTTGAAGGTGTTAACAACGGACCTGCAAAGGGGAATGGTCCATTTTATGCGCAATAAAAAAAAACTTTAAAGAAATACAGTGTATTTCTGAAGTCACTTTTCTGGACTTGGCAGCAAGCCGGGGTGCGGTCCCACATTCTGCCACCTGCCCTTTTCAGTCATGATGTGACTAGCCTACGTGTGGGTGTCACAGACTTGTTTAAAGACCACAACTTTTGTTTTGGTTTGTGTTTGTTTTGAAACTCCGTGTTACCCCAGCTCAGCCATCGACTGCCATCACCTAAGAAAATGTCTGAAGCAACCCACTGTGGTAAGAAGCTGCTTTTCAAACAGAGCCCCAGAATCCTCTGGAAGAGAAGAAGCGTGTTCTTTGAAATTGGGTTTCTCCAAGACAGCGTGATCCTGCTCCCTGCAGACCTGCCGGGCTCTGTCCTTGAACACAACTGACCAGTGGTTTGGGGTTTGCAGTCACCACGCCCCAACCATTCAGGTGTCTAGGTGTCCCTCACGACAGTCAGTGCATAGGGGCTTGCTGGTCATCCTCTTGAGCCTAGAGTCACCCCACCAGTTTGAAGAGAATGATGCTGACCAGTTCTCTCTGCTGCATGAAGCCTCTGAACTGCCACGTAGGACTAGGATCGAGACACAGCCCAGCTCTCCTCAGCATGTTGAGCCATCAGGCGTGTGACTGACTGACCTGCCGTGGGGCTAATCCCAGCACCACGGTGCTTCTCCATAATGGGGACAGCAAGGAGAGAAAAAACAGCGATAGATGGTGGAGGTAACTGGCCTGACCCAGAGGTCGCTGCCATGGATACTGCGTTCCAGATCCGGCTGCATGACCACCTATTCCAGAAGGAAGAAGATGGCTGTGCCCACACCGATGCAGACATCTCAGGGTAGAAGAAACATAACCAGCTCGAGTGAATGCGCTGTGGCCCCAGATTCCTGGGAGGAAAGGTGGGTGACTGCCTGGCCTGTTGGGAAAGTCAGGAGGGCTTGGGGTCACCTGTGCTGACCCAGTCACCTTTCGTTCCTCAGGAATCACTTTGATTAGAGTTGGCAACAGGCAGGGTCTGGCTGTCCTTCACAGCAAGCTGGGGGGGTGGGGGGGGGAGTGTGCGGGGGAGGACATGCAGGCAGGCAGCGAGGAGGAATCTGTGGAGCCTGCTTGCAGGCTTCCTCAGATGCATACACCCCCTTTCCTTCCAGGAAACCCCCGTCTGATGCTCCGAAATCCCTCCTCAACACTGAACCCTGAATCTGCATGTTCCCTTCTTAGGAGTCAGAGTAAACATGGTAAAGGGAGAGAATGTACCATTTTGCTCCGCTTTATGAACTGTCTAGACCGTGGCCTCCTTGTGTCCCCCCGTGGTGCACAGTGAGGAGGGGATGAGATCCCTGCTGGTGTCTTGTATTCTACCCAAACTGCAGCACAGGGCGCCCGAGCCTCCCCTGTCACGGGGAATCCAGGAGCCTTAGGCCAGGCGCCCAGGGTCACAGAGGCCCTGCAGTAACAACACCCCGGACAGCCTGTAGCTGCTGCTGCTGAACTTTTCAGCTAGCATTCTGGGACCACCCCCACCTCAGGGTGCCTCCTCCTGAGAATCTCTCCATTAAGTTGCACAAACATGGGAGAGGTGACAGCATCCCTTGATAAACGCACACGCACACACGTGCGCACGCACACAATCTTACGTTCCCGGCGTGGCCCTTCCGAACCAGTGGGGACATCCAGTTCTCGAGCAGGCTGGATTTTCGCCTTCGGCCCTCAGAATGCACTGTGGGGGTAGCCCAGGCCCCGGGCTCAGAGTGAGCAGCCTGCAGTTATGTTGCATGGTCTCCAAAGTGGGCAGATGGCGCGCCCTCCAGACCCAGGGGAAGAGTCCCTGGAAGTGTCCGGAGCAGGTGCGGAGCTGCCTAAAATGAGATCCAGGTCACTGGCGTCTGTCCACAAGAGAGAGCGCTGGGGAGTGTGTTGGGCGACGTGGAGGTTAGTGTTCAGACATGAAACAGTAACTTCAGAGGTGGTCTTAGGCACACAGCTGAGCTGGTCAGGCCTCCCTCTTCCCCTCTAATCTAGGGCTGGAGACACACACACACACACACACACACCCATGAGGGCAGCGCTAAGAGACACACACACACACACACACACAGAGGCTCCCATGAGGGCAGCGCTTCGAGGGACTTGAGATTCTTGAACCAGGGCCTGTGTAGCTCACGGACATAGTTCATGATGGTAACCGATTTCACCAGGAAGGCAAGAACCCCTAGGAGGACTGAGAAAAAGGTGCTCCCACTGCCCAGAGGCACTTCGGGCCTGTGGGGTCAGCCAGCAGTCGTGCGCTTATCTTCAATTCCTTTAGATACTTGACTGAGTTCATTTCCTCTCATGAACTGAACTAGACACAGGTCACCGCAGACAGGCAGTGTTTCTAGAACATTCAGATAGGCGGCTGCTGCTGGGTGTGTGTGTGAGGCTGGACAGTGCTGGGCCTGGTCAGCGCTCAGGACCTTGCTGAGAAGAAACCAGCTCTCAACTCCGGGGGACACCCCAGTCTTTTCTTCCTGCTTTGGTTCTGCAGCCTGGTGCCCTCAGCCACAGCCTTGGGTGGCGGCTCCAGGCTGCTCTCCCGGCAGGGGCTCCAAGGACAGCTTTGGATCATGGGTCCTCCACGCATTGTCAAGGGCGTGGGGTTTAACCCTGATGAATGTTGGGGTGTGTTCATGTTAGGGTGTGTGAGCCAGAAGAACAAGGGATCTCTCACGCACCCCGGACAGCTGGCACGGCTGGGCGGGGGGTGAGGGAAACGAGCCTTTCTTGAGAGACAAATGCGGGTGACCAGCCGTGGCCTGGCTCTCGGCCTCAGGTGGTTGCCCCAGAGTCTGAGGCCAGATCTTTGCATGAGAAAAAAGAAAAGATAAAAACGCACCTGACAGCCAACAGCGTCCTCTCCCTAGCTGCATTTGATGGAACTTTTTTTTTTTAATATTTTTAAAGGATTGACTAAATACCATTTTAAAAATGTAACCAGGGCCAGACTCTCCTCGTAACGGTCTCATATTGGGACTAAATGACATTTCTGGCTCCAGTAATTAACGTTTGACGTTTTCATCAAATCGTCCTTCAGAAGAAATTTTAAATTGTTCTTAAAAACCACCTGTTCAAGTCTGGGTGGCGGCAGCAGGTGGGGTGCAGAGGGGGTGTGTCTGGGACTGGACGGCTGCATCTGACCAGCACTTGGTGCCTTACATGGGAACAAACCAGCACTCGGCCCCTGGGAACGCCTGACTCTTCCTGCGGCCTCGCCCTCAGCCTGGAGAAGGAGCCGAGTCCCCAGACCCAGAGCGCCCCGGGGCCCGGCCAGGCTCTCCGGTGGGAAGATCCTTGGAAGAAGGGGGAAGAGACAAGTTTCCTGAACACTGTGCCTGGGGGTGTGGAGGGGCTTCGCGCCTGTATGTGGGCAGCCCGCCCTGCTCATGACTTTGAGAGCCCATCACGGAAGCAAAGGGGGGCACAGAGCGGTGGCTTCGGTGTGGTGTGGTGGGCACACATTCACCCTTCAGCTGTTTGCTTTCTGTGGCCAACAGCCAAAATAAAGTCAGTGGTTATTTTTTTCTTCTGTGTGGAAGAGAATCATTTTTCCCCTCCATGAGCAAATTCACACCTTCAGAGGAGAGTGGGGTGGCCCGTAAAACCAGGGCCACAGGACGCCTTTCTTCCTTGAAGCCCCTGTCCGCCCAGGTTGATGGCAGCGAGTGGGGGGCCTTGCAGGGCTGCTTGTCATTGGGGGTTCCCTCTATGCCCCTCCCCGTGATCCTTGTGTCTGCCACCGTACTTGTTTTTTTTTAAGATTTATTTATTTATGCATACAAGAGCTGGGGTACAGGCCAGAGATGCAGGGGGTGAGGGATTCACCAGAGACAGAGTGGGGAGCAGAACAGGCAGACTGACTGAAATACACTGCTGAGGGGAGCAGCGGGCGAGTCAGGAGAGGTCTGCTGCGCCATGTGGGTTTCTCTCTGGCCAGGGATCAAACTCGTGCTGCAGAGGCTGTGGATTGCTTCATAGTGTGGTGCTTAACCCCTCGCACCACCAGGGCCCTCTGCCACCCTATTTGCTTTGGTTGGAAAAATGTCACTGCCAGCTAGTCAGAATTCTTCCTCTGCTATCCTGGGCTTTACCGCACATCTTAAAGAAGAGGGGCAGGCAGAGAATTGTCTTCCCAAGCTCTGTGCCCAGGCCAAGGATGGTCCCTCTTCCCACCACCCCAACCCATGCCAGGCCCAAGATTTAGCTGCCGCACAGATTTGGGTGGCAGTGTTCTGGGGGAGGAGAAGGCACTTCTGCTATTGGAGAAGGTTGGCTGGGAGGGGTCTTGAGAGCAATGAAAAGATGCCTGGACTCAGAACCCAGCTACATGATCAGGATGAAAAATTAGAAACCTGCCAGTTTCAAGCCAGGATAGTGGTAAGGAGGCCAACTGCGTGTTGGGCTGGGAGGAGGGCCCAACAAACAGAAGCAACGGGATGCCACTGAATAGGGTGCAGCCCTCCAGGGTCTTGAGGGATGGGAGAGGGCTTGTCAGTGTCTGCAGAAGGGAGCATCCGGCAAGCTCCCCCCACCACTACCACCAGCCTGGGGAGGGTGTACTTTCTACTCCCACCAGGTCAAGAGTTGGAGACAAGTGAAGAAGCTGGTCTTTAAAACAAGTGGAGTCAACAGGATGATGTCCGCTCCCCCCAACCCCAGGCCTCATCACCCCATTTCCTGGGTCTCCAGGGACCGAGGAAGAACTGAAACAACTGCTCTTAGAACTGTGTGTCAGCAGGAGCTGGAAAAGCTGCCTCCCTTGTGGGGATGGGGGGCGGGGCGGGGGGTGTAGGAATGGGGGGTAGGCTAGTGGCCACAAAGGACGCAGACAAGCCCTCCTCCTGCTGAAGTGGGGGCTGTGCCCAGATGGGACCCTGAGGAGGATGTAGGTGGAGCAAACTGATGTGGTTGGGTTCTCAGGGGCCGAGGAATTGACCCTGACTTTGCGAGCTGGGCTGTGAGTCAGGCCAGGGAAGGGCCAGTTTCCAGTGTCCACTGAAATTGAGTTTCACCACCACAGAGTCAGCAGTGCCCGCCTGGGCAGGCCTGCAGGTGTCTGGTGTCCTGGCCCCAAGGAATGTGGGTAGGTCCAGAGATCGAAATATCCCCTATTCTTTTACTCCACCCCCCAGTTTCCATTATGCTCCACCGAGAGCCCCAGCCCCACGCTACCCAGCTGGGGAAATTACTGGAAGCCACTTCCCCTGTGACATGAGCACTAGACCAGGAATCTGATCGGGCATCTGGCCCAGCTTGGCCAAGACCTGTCTGGCTAATCTCAGAGGCGTCTCTTCAAGTCCATTTCTACGCTTGAAACGTGACCATAACACTTAACACTCTCTTACACGAGTTAGTTTTAAGGCCAGGAAAAGATCAGAGATGCCAATTGCTCAGAGTTTTGTGGGTTCTGTGGCTGCTGAGTCACATGCCAGCCCCCACCAACGTTGAACCCCGGGCCGGTGCCCACAGTTGGATATGCCAGGTCCCAGCCGCGGTGGCTGCTCCCTCTGCAGCGCCCGTAGCAGGAAACAGCAGCTGCACTTAGGTTTCCAGAATTATGAAGAGCCCAAAACTTTATGGAAGGATAGTCCCTGGCCTCCATGACTCATACCCAGCTCTGTCCTTCCTTCCCTAGACATCGGTGGCCACAGTGACGTGCGCCACGCAACCCCTCCCCCAAGGAGCACTCAGGATGGCAGAGGCCACTGACCGCTGACCACCCTGCTCTTTCTAACAAATCACCACAAGACGTCAAGCTAGTCACAGCCAGGCCCTGCTCACCCCACCCCGGCCACCCTTCCCAACACCCCCGTGCCTTTCCAGGCTTGGTGTTCAGTCATCCTCCAAAGATGACAATCATAGAAAGGAAGGACAGCCAGGGCACCAGAACTGGCCAGCTCCTTGATCAGCTGCTGGAAGAGGCGGCCCCCACCCCCCTGGGAAATTCCCCTGCCTCTGCCCCTGGAGCCCATCCTGACCAGAGCCGGACTGGGGGTGGGGCAGGGGAGGAGTGTGCCGTTTCTGGGCCTCGCCAGGCTTTCTTCGGGAAGTCTCACGGATTGGAAGCCTGGGCGGGGGCCTAGCTGGCAACTGTTGGTTGTTAGCCCCATAGAAAGGTCTGGGGAAAAGGCTGCCTTAGGTAACGTGGGAAACCCCAGGCGCAGGTGCTGAGTCATGGCTGTGTCCGCCCCCACCTCGGCAGCTTCCTGTAGGCCCACACCACCCATGCATGCCAGGCCCCTGCAGAGCTCGCCTTCCGCTCTGGGGGTAGGAAGGTAAGCTGGGCCCTGCTGGTCCAGGCCCCGGGTCTAGCCATCTCCTTTCTCCTTCAGCAGGAATTTCTTCTCTTCTCTCAGACTCCCCTGCCTTCAAAAACCCACTTGTGTTACATGCTTAGACTCCATCTTGGCAGGAAGCCACCTTGGAGGTGGGGGAGCTGGTTGACCCCCACTCACGACTGGCCTTCATCTCCTTAGACCTCATGCCAGCCTTCATCTCCTTGGACCTCATGCCAGGACACTGGTGATGATAGTAGATGTTATTTTTTTTAATTTATTTATGCATACAGGATCTGGGGTGTAGACTAGAGGTGCTAGGTGTGAAATGATTCACCAGAGAAAGCAGGGAGCAGAACAGGCAGACTGACTGAAATCCCCTGCTGAGGGGAGCTGGAGGGGTGGGGCGCCACATGAGACAGGAGAGGTCTGCTGACCCACATGGGTTAGCAGCCTTGCTGGGAACTCTGCTGCGGTCTCTGCTGCAGTGGCTGGCTATAGCTTGACAGTGCTGAGACCTTAACCCCTGCAGCAACAGGGAGGCCCTGATAGTAGATGTTATTGACCACAGTAGGGCTTTGGTTGCTGGAATGTGCCCACAGGTAGGGTGACAGGTTCCAAGGCAAGCAGCTCCCTGACTCCAGCAGTAGAGGGAAGAGGGAGCAGCAGTTCCCTTGGGGGGACTGACACAGAGCTCCGTGGAGAGCGCAGAGGGAGTTCTCTGGCAGCTCTCCCTTGTTGGCAGGAATTCTGCTCTCGATACATCCCTGAAACAGCTGCATTCAGTCTCATAGAGCCCATGTGCGACGATGCTCATTGGAACATTACCGGTCATGGCAGAAGCTGGGGGGTGACCTGGGGTCCCGTGCATGGGCAACTTATGAGAAAAGTGTGGGGGTGCCACTGTGAGTACTCTTGACTCTTAGGAGCAACACACAAGCAGCTCAGAGGGGGCGTGCAAGCAGCTCTGTGTGAGGACATGAGATCAACCCTAGAAAATACGAGCAACCATGTGCTTTTTTACAAGACTTCATGCAAACATGTGCCATGTAACACACATTATGACTGTTGCCTCTCACGGAGCCATGAAGGGCATGGGACAGAGAATACAAGGAATAAATAAATAACCGCAAATTCCGCCACAGGGTGACAGGTGATGTGGGGAGCCGGGCCTGGCTCTTGCACACTTGCCCTCCAAAAAAAAAGAAAAGAAAAGAAAACACAAGTGCTAAAAACAGGCGAGCATGGGTCACACACTCCACTGTACCGGAGACTTGAAAAAAAAAATGTTTTTTTTCTATTCTAAGGCACAAAAAGTGACTTTTAAATCAAGATTGGGGAGATAATATCCGCAGCTGGAGATCTGCTTTTCAGCATAAATCAAAGGTCAGTCTGGGCCTCCCCCGGTGGCGCAGCGGTTGAGCGCTGGGCTGCGAAGCTGCCCGCAGCCTCTTCAGCGCTGTTTCGATCCCCGGCCACCGGCGAGGGTCCCACATGGCGTGCAGACCTCTCCTGCCACCCGCTGCTCCCCTCAGCAGTGTACTTCGTCAGTCTGCCTGTTCTGCTCCCTGCTCTGGCTCTGGTGAATTCTCTCACCCTCCTGGGCTTCTGACTGTACCCAGTGCTTGTATAAATAAATAAATAAATCTTAAAAAAAAAAAAAACTAAAAAAAAAAGGTCAGTCTGGCTCAGGGGAGGGGGGAAGCCTACAGAACTTCTGGGGGACCCCCCAAAAAGTGCCCAATTGAGAATAGTGTCTCTTCCTCTCTGAACGACCTGAGATGGAGCAGATTTTCCTTTTAGGGTTAGGGTTACCCACAACCCGATTGTCAGCCTGGGCCGGCCTCGCCCTAGAACGCTCCAGGCATCTGGAAGTCAGATGTCAGTGACCTCAGTTCCCCAGACTCCCCCTTGAACATGACAGCGTGCCTCACCCTTGGGTCGTCCAGCCAGTGCTAGGGTCACACTCAGGGCCATGCAGGTGCCTGAATCTGAGTCTGGGTGTGAGCGTGACCTGGCCCAGGGCCTATGCCTGAAAAGACCAGGTCATCACAGGGGTTCAGGGAGTCCCAACACCACACCCCAAAAGTCCCCTGGACTTGTCAGAAACAGACTTCAAAAAGGATCTTAAGGGACCCAAGCCTGTGAAAACAGGGAAAAGATTTGAATTTAGCTATAAAATGGTAAACTTTGACTTTGTCCTCAGGGCAGGACAAGACAGATGAGGCCTGCTCTGGGCCAGGAGCTCCCCTGGTGGGAACCCAAGCAGTAAAAGGGAAAGAAACCCAGGCCCCTCCAACTGAGCACGGTGACTCATAGCAGCAGTGGGCGTGTGAGCCTGCTGGGGCCGCCATAACAAGCACCCAGAGCTGGTGGCTTCAACAGCAGAAACAGATTTGCTCACAATTCTGGAGGCTGGATGTCCAAGATGAAGGTGTCGGGGCTGGTTTCTTCTGAGGTTCACCCTGGGGCCGGTAGCTGGTCGCCTCTCCTGTCTTCCTCACACCCACCTTACGGGTGCCTCTGTCCAGATCGCCTCTTCCTATAAGGACACCACTCAGATAGGACACGTGCCCCTCGATGGCCTGACTTAACCTTAATTACCTTTTCAAAGGCCCTGTCTCCAAACACAGTCACACTCTGAGGGACTCAGGGTGAGGGGGAATACAATCCAGCCATGACAATAACTTTAGAAACAATCTCCTAGGACCTTAAAGATGTTTTTGAAAATGCCAGGCTCTTTCTGCTTCAATAAAGGGAGCTTTGAAAGGGAGTTTGGGGGTTCACAGGAGGAGCAGCCCAGCAACAGTAAGGTATGTTGGAGAAAAGTGAAACTGAGTTCAGATTCTGACTGCTCAGTCGGTTACACCCTCGCAAAAAGTTGAATTGTCACCTCTGATAATTTCCCTTGTTGCCCTGCCCCTCCCGGGCGTCCATCCCCCCAGCCCAGGATTTGATTTCTGACTCTTACCTTGGCAAGAAGCATCAGCAAGAAGATGACAGCTTTGGAGCAAGGTGCCGGAGGCGAGCCAGCTGCTTGTGGGGTGCAGAACGGAAAGCCACTGTGGACAGCTGGCACTTTCTAGTAAAGTTCAGTGTTCCCGGAGCCTGTGACCCAGCAGCTCCATTCCTATGCTCAAGAGAAGGGAAAACATAGGTCTGCACAAAGATTTACAGAATGTTGGAGGCAGGGTGAATGGAACTGCCATGTCTGGGGTGCACAGAGAGGCGAGCAGACGTGTCCTCTGGGGCCAGAAAACAGCGTGGCTGGAACCAAAGCTACGCTTGACAGCACAGGGGTCCTGCTGGTGACCTTGACCCCCAAGGCACAGAAAAAATGACATATCCAGAGTCCTGTGTAAGAAGGCGAAGAAGTATGTCATTTGTCGCTGAAAGTTTAGCAATAGGGGGCCTCCCTGGTGGCGCAGCGGTTGAGCGCTGGGTTGCGAAGCTGCCCGCAGCCTCTGCAGCACCGGTTCGATCCCCGGCTGCTCCCCGGCCACCGGAGGAGGGTCCCACATGGCGCGCAGACCTCTCCTGCCGCCCGCTGCTCCCCTCAAGCAGTGGACTTCGGTCCTTCTGCCTGTTCTGCTCCCTGCTCTGTCTCTGGTGAACCCTCCTGTGCCTCTGGCCTGTACCCCAGCTCTTGTATAAAAATAAATAAATCTTTAAAGAATAAATAAATAAATAAATTGGAAGTATGCATAATGCTGCCTGAATTTTAGTTTAACAAACTATACCATTATGACATTTTTATTATAAAAGCTATTGGTCATTTAAAATGAAGGCCAGTCAGTTAAGAAAAATCAGAACACAGGGGCTTCCCTGGTGGTGCAAGGGGTTAGGCGCAGCACTGTGAAGCTGCACGAAACCTCTGCCACACAGGATGGATCCCGGGCCAGGGAGATACCCACATGGCGCCGCAGACCTCTCCTGGCTCACCCGCTGCTCCCCTCAGCAGTGTACTTCAGTGATCCACCTGCTCTGCTCCCCGCTCTGTCGCCGGTGAATCCTCTCACCCCCCATATCTCTGGCCTGTACCCCAGCTCTTGTATGCATCAAGAAATAAAATCTTTTTTTAAAAAATCAGAAAGTAGTAGAAAGTGGAACATCACTGACTTTTAGTATTTTACTGTGACCATGAGATGAGGTTTTCTATCCGTCCTTCCCAGCTTTTGCTTTTTTGAAGATTCAGTTTCTGTTCTTCAGCTCAGAAGCAGCAACTTCCTCGCCCCCTTGTGCTTCCTCATCCTTTCCAGGAACTTGCTTTCCTTTTTCTGTTTCTCTTTTGTTGGGGTCACGTGCCTTTCTCCCTCGGCCGGGGACGCACCTAGGTCTGGGGCGCGGGGGGACCGGCTTCCCCAGATCGCGTCCTCCTTGGTTGTGGGGGGACGGCCGCCCCGGGGCTATTCCAAAGCGCAGCCCGGGGCGTTCAGAAAGCAAGTGTCCCCCAGGCTCGTCGGGAAAGAGCCCCGCCAGGCTGGGGTGAGAGGCCGCCTTCCCAGTTCCACCTTCCTAGGCCCCCCCCGCCCCCACGCGAGGGCGCAAATCCGGGGGGCTGTGTGGGAGGCCGGGCGCGCCCGCCGCGTTTCGTCTTTGGCGCCCTCGGCTCTCGGCCCGTGGCAGCGGCGGCCGCGCTCGCTCCCCGCCCTCTCCCGCCTCTTTTGGGGTCTCTCTCCCGCGCGCGGGGGCGGGGCGCAGGGCGGGCCGGGGCGGGCTCTAAGTAAGGAAGTCGGCGCGCGGCGGGCGCGTCTCCTCGGCCCCCCGCTTCGCTCGTCCCTGGTGCCGGCGCGGGCGCCCGGCTGCGCGCCCTCGGCCTCCCCGCGCGCTCGGTGGGTGAGTACGCGCCCCCCGGCCCGCGCGCCCCCATCCCCGCGCCCCCCGGCCCCCGCGACCCCCGATCCCCGCGGCCCCGATCCCCGCGGCCCCCGGCTCCCGCGACCCCCGATCCCCGCGGCCCCCGGCCCCCCGCGGCCCCGCCTCGCGCTCAGCTCGAGCCCTCGGGGGTCTTCGGGAACGCCGGCCGCCGGCCCGGGGGTGCGAGCGCGGGGGCCCCGGAGAGGCACGGCCGCCGGTGCCACCCTGCCCCGCGCGCCCACCGCCTGGGGCCGCCCGACACCCCGCTCGCTCCTCGGCGGACCGGGTCCCGGAGCCCCGACTTCGCCGGAGGCTTCCGCCTTCGGACCCGCCGGGCCGGCCCCGGGGCGCAGGGGCGCGGAGAGCGGGGGAGCCCGCGCGCGGCCCCGGCTCCTGCCCGAGCGGGCCCTGCAGCCGCTTTGTCTCCTCCCGCGTGAGCCCGGGCTGGGGGGCCGCGAGGGAGCCCCCTCCCCGCGCCCTCCCCGGGGCAGGCTTAAGGGCCACGGGGAGGACGAGGCGAGGACCCCAACACTCCTCGTCCGCGGGCCCGTGGCCGGTTCTGAACGATCCAACCCCGGAGATGAGAAAACCGAGGAAAGGGGCCTCCCTGGTGGCGCAAGGGGTTAAGACGCAGCCTATGAAGCTGTCCGCAGCCTCCGCAGCGCCGGTTCGATCCCCGGCCAGGGAGCTACCTACATGGCGAGGCAGACCTCTCCTGTCTCGCCCGCGGCTCCCCTCAGCAGTGTACTTCGGCCAGCCTGCCTGTTCTGCTCCCCACTCTGTCTCTGGTGAATCCTCTCACCCCCCCGCATCTCCGGCCTGCACCCCAGTTCTTGTATGCATAAATAAATCTTTAAAAAAAGAAAACCCTCGAAAGGGACGCGTGTAGCGCGCGCTTGTAGAGCCAGAACCCAAATCCCGACGCAGACCTTGGCCTGGGTCTAGGGAACTTGCCCCCATACCTGCTTATACCTGCGTGGGTGTGACCAGAGCGCCTGTCCCGGAGGGTTAGGAATTATGTGCAGATACTGACCTGGTAGAAAAGTTTGTTGACTGACTTGGTGACCCCAGGGGAACTGGGAAAGCCCAGAAACCCTCAGCCAGCAAGTGGCTGAGCCGGCAGGGGTTCGTGGATTCATTCATCCAACAAACAGCAATGTGCTGGGGTGTGGGGTGACAGTGAGCGGATGGTTTGGCGGACAACTAGTCTGGAGAGCTGGCTTTGGGTTTGGGCCTGGGCCTTGTGGGACTGATTTGCCCCTCATCTGGCAGGCCTAAGAGGGGAGACCCAGCACAGTGCACCCCCACCTTCTCTGGCTGCCTCCCAATTCCACCACCCCGGGTCCTCTGCCCTTCCTGCAGATCTTACCTGCGGCATCTCCCTGCCTCTCTCTAGAAGGGAGCTGGGGGAAGCTGCACTGGATGTGGCTCTTCCACATTCCATCTCCACCCCTGTGGGCATATGGCAGGACTCTGTGCCAGGGCCCAGTCTGTGCCACTGGGGGCAGATCCTGAGCCAGGGCTGTGGAGTCCCCTGGGAGCCGCCAGTGACTGTTCCTGAAGAGAATTCGTTCTCTGAAGTAGGAGGAAAGCCAGGCCGGGGGTGGTATGGGTGCTCAGGTTTTAAAAGTTTAGATGGGGGCCTCCCCGGTGGCGCAGCGGTTGAGCGCTGGGTTGCGAAGCTGCCCGCAGCCTCTCACCTCTCCAGTGCTGGTTCGACCCCCGGCTGCTCCCCGGCCACCAGAGGAGGGTCCCGCATGGCGCGCAGACCTCTCCTGCCGCCCGCTGCTCCCCTCAGCAGTGTACTTCGGTCCTTCTGCCTGCTCTGCTCCCCACTCTGGCTCTGGTGAATTCTCTCACCCTCCCGCGCTTCTGACTGTACCCAGTGCTTGTATAAATAAATAAATAAATAAATAAATAAATAAATAAACCTTAAAAAAAAAAGTTTAGATGGGCAGAGCTTTAGTGAGGCCAGAGGACACCTGCCTGGCCTACGTGCCACGCAGAGAGGTGTGCACTTCTGCCTCGCCTGCCCAGGGGGTCAGGGCCGCAGGGAAGAGGTGTGTGACCAGTGCCGTGCGCCCCTTCACGGTAGGGTTTAAAGGCTTCTCTTGCTTCCTCGAGCACGTGGGTGCCTGGGCTGTGCTGGGCATGGGGTGTTCGTGAGAGTCAGGTGCTCTAGTGAGAATGGCAACTATGAGACGTTGGGAGGTGGGCTTGCTGCTGGGTGTGGAGCGCTCCGGGGACATGGGGTGGGCTGCTGGCAGTTCTGTGTGAGGAGGTCAGGCTATCTGGGGTGGACGCTGAAGGACGAATCGCCACTTAGTAGTTGGTGATGAGAAGGCATACTCGGGACAGGGCAGGGGTGATTGGACGGGGTGCCTAGGTGGGAAGGGCATTGCGTGCCCTTGACCAGGGAAGCTCACAGCCTTCCCCATCAAGGATGGTGCGCCTTGGTGGTGCTCACTGGACACTGGCTCTGGACAGCCGTCCCACGAGCAGCCTCACCCGGGAGCTGCAAGAACCCTCGGTTGCCCTGCAGGTGACCATGTGTCAGGCTGGGGCAGCGCAGGGGTGCAGGCGTGAGGGGCCCACCTCCTGTGTCTGCTGAGCAGCGCTGTGGCTGCCACACCTGGCTGGCCAGCCCCAGAGTCGCGGGTAACACAGAGCCGCCCACGGGCCTGAAAAAGACAGCTAATTGAGGGTGATCAGCCGTAACATGCGGAGTTCACGGGGCACCAGCTACAGGGACTCGTGTGTATTAACTCAGTTGGACATCGCGGTAATCCGAGGTTGTGGTCCCCCTTCTGCAGATGGGGAAACCAAAGCAAGAGGTTAAGTAACGTGCCAGGGTCCCATGGCAGGGAGTCAGACTCCAGAGTCCCGCCTCTAGCCCTCCTGCCTCACTGCCCCTTTTCTCCTTGGTCCGGGCCCCTCTGCTCCACCCGCAGGTGACACCTGGAGGGGTAAGGACTGAAGAATGACCTTGGTTTCCCTGCTGACTCCTCCTCCCACCCCTGCAGGCAGCTAGGGGTGTGTGCAGTAGAGGGTGGTGCCTCTGGTGGCAGCATCCTGTCCCTGGGATTTTCCCCCCAGAACAACCTGGCAGCTCCCCAGCCCCACCCTATCCAGGCCTTCCCCCCTTCTTTTTTTTTTTTTTTTTTTTAAGATTTATTTATTGGGCCTCCCTGGTGATGCAAGAGGTTAAGACGCAACCTATGAAGCTAATGGCAGCCACTGCAGCAAGAGTTCGATCCCTGCCCAAGGGAGCTGCTCCCCTCAGCAGTGTATTTCATTCAGTCCGCCTGTTCTGCTCCCCACTCTGTCTCTGGTGAATCCTCTCACCCCCTGCACCTCTGGCCTGTGCCCCAGCTCTTGTATGCATAAATAAATAAATCTTTTTTTCAGGTGGATCGACTGAAATACACTGCTGAGGGGAGCAGCGGGCGTGACAGGAGAGGTCTGCTGGGCCATGTGGGTTGCTCCCTGGCCGGCTGGGGATCGAACTCATGCTGCTGTGGCTGGCAATAGCTAGATAGCTCGAGTGCTGTCTTGAACCCCTGCGCCAGCGGGGAGGCCCTCCTTCCCGCTCTTCCTGCCTGTGTACATCAAAGTGGGGAAGTGTCAAATGCAAAGTAAATGTGATCATCCAGATGAACCACAAAACCATTTCTGGGGGTCCTGCTGCCTTAGTGATGGAATCTTGGTTGACTTTTGGATATGTAAAGAAGCCACCAACTTGGAAAATGAAGAAGTAGTTTAAGTTACCGTCTGCCCACAGTAATGGAGTGTGTGTGTGTGTGTGTGTGTGTGTGTGTGTGTGTGGTACGTGTGATGTGAGTGGAATTTCAGAGGGGAAGAAAGTGCCTTCTGAGTCACAGAGCAGATTTAAAGGGGACTGGTTACCCCCAGAAGCACAGAGAAACTGGATTGAAACCTCCCCTGTAGACCCGCTGCCCTGGTGAGAGCGCGTGCCAGGAGTGAGCTGCGCAGTTGTGGGGGCCAGCACGGCACCCCCTGCTTCTAGAGTGTCAGGACCACCGTGGAGTTTATTGCAAAGCATCACGCCTGAGCTCCCCCAGCCAACAGTTCTTCAACTGCTGCCCTGAAGGCTGCCGGCCAGTGGGCCAGCCAGTGTCCACCTCACACACTCGCGTGCTGGACAAACCCCCTTTCCTTAGTGGAAGGGAAGCAGGTGCTGTGGACTGGGACGGGACTCCAGTCTTTGGAGTTTGGATGGGACCGGGGTCCCACTTACTGAAGCTCCCCACACTGTCCCCTGTGGCCCCTGCTTCCTGAGATGCTCGTCTGAGGCCTGCAATGATGCCGCTGTGTTCCGCCCGAGGGCAGGTCTGCACTGTGTTTGGCTTGCTTTGTGTCACTGCAATCTCATTGCAGTCCTTGCCAGTTCTGTGGAGGCCTGTGATGTGACGTGGTGATGGTGGGGCTAAGGTGACCGCAGGCCTGGGTCCTGCTCGTATCTTGCCCCCCAAACCAAAGGGAAGGGTTGACCACCGAGTGGCCATTACCTATTGGGTGCCTTCCCTGTGACCTCATTTGCTCCTATGAGCCAGGGAATGTCCCTTGTTACAGATGGGGAAGTGGAGGTCACATGGCAGAACCGCTGCAACCCTCTCTACCTGGCTACCTTGTGATGGTCCCTCTCTGGGTTAGGGATGTGTGAGCTACTTTTTCTTTTCTTTTTTTTTAAAGATTTATTTATTTAGGCATGCAAGAACTGGGGAACAGGCCAGAGGCTTGAGGGGTGAGAGGATCCACCAGAGACAGAGTGGGGATCAGGACAGGCGGAGCTACTGAAATACACTGCTGAGGGGAGCAGCAGGGGAGTCAGGAGAGGTCTGCTGCACCATGTGGGTAGATCTCCTTGGCCAGGGATTGAACTCATGCTGCAGAGGCTGTGGAGAGCTTCATGGTGTTTCAACTTAACCCCTTGTGCCACCGGAGAGGCCCCCCCAGGGATGTTTGAGCCTCTTAAATGTTACTAGACCCTGGAAACTTAAGGAGTTGAATTTTTCTTGGACTCTGCCAGGGAAGGGCTCGGGGAGGAGAGCAGATGGCACCGGAAGGGGTGTGTGGCATGAAGGCTCCTAGGAGGCAGACTGCCCCTCGTGGGACTGAGTGGAGAGCAGCCCGGGGCTGAGTGACTGGTCCCATAGGAATGAAACGAGGCCTGAGGTCTCTGCCAGATGCCCCCGTTTGGGTGCTGGGTGGCTGCACCACACCCAGCCAGCTTCTCAGCTGGCAGAGCCATCTGGGGAGCGACTGCCTAACACACAGCTCCTTGGAGGCCAGAAAGAGGCTGCTTCCTCCGCGCTTCCTTTAGGGGAAGCCTGAGCTTCGGGTGCTGACTTCTGGTGGGGGAGGTCACTGAGGTTGGGCCCAGCTGGGCCCAGCTGCCTGGTGTGTGGTGGGGGGAGGGTGAAGAGGGGTAAAGAGGCCACAGCCAGGCTCACACTGGGGACACTGACTCAAGGGCCTGCCTTGCTCCAGGAGACAAACCTCCCCTGACTGGAATCTCTCGCTGGAAGCAGTTCCTCACTACCCTGGAGGGTGAGGTGGGGCCGGCCTGGCGGGCCCTGGGGCAGGTGACGGTCCAGCCTGAGGGCCTTGCCCTCTGCCCCCACACCCACCCCCTCTGACAAAGGTGTCTGCTCCTTCGCCTCTGAATTCCAGAGAACACGCAGAGACCACCAGACCTCAAGTATCGCTGAGTCTCCAAGAACCGTGTTTCCTCCTGGGACCCTTCCTGGGGTCCTGTGACATTAAGCTCCTGTAGCTAACCTGGCTGGCAGGCTGCACCTGAGGACAGAGAGGGATGGAGTCTGTCGAGTCAGGGATGCCAGAGAACCTTGTTGACTGTGTTCTTCGTCTCTTTTGAGCTCAATTCAGTTTAGAATTAGTGCCCACAGCAGGACCAGGGGCCTCCTGTCTCCCTGGGTGTCCTTGCTGGGAGCTAAGCAGCAGGGCTACCGCCCTGAGCTCCTTGTCTGCCACTCAGCAGGGCCGTGCCCTCAGCTGTACATGTGAACGTGCTTGTTTTAATCTTTGGAGATTTAAGTTGTGAAATGTTTTGATTGACCTGTGAACCAAATAAATGTTTATATAAATCAATATTTCTAAAATTCCCAGAAAATAAGGAAATTGCACTTGTAATCATTTATTTATTTAAAATATTCATTTTATTTATGCATACAAGAGCTGGGGTATAGGCCAGAGTTGTGGAGGTGGGGGTGTGTGAGAGAGAGGATTCACCAGAGACAGAGTGGGGAACAGAACAGGCAGACTGACTGAAATACACTGCTGAGGGGAGCAGCGGGTGAGACAGGAGAGGTCTGCTGCACCACATGGGTCAGCTCCCTGGCTGGGGATTGAACTCGTGCTGCAGTGGCTGCTGATAGCTTCATAATGCTGAGACTTAACCCCTTGCGCCACCAGGGAGGCCCTGCACTTGTAATTATTTAAATGCACTAGGCGTAAAAAAATTCTTCCAGAGACAAACTTAGAAATATTTCAAGAATACAGGCTCACATAATTAAGATAACTTTTCAGCAAACAAGAATTATCACTTTGGTTTAAAAAAGCTATGTTGATGGTGATGTCCTTTTTGGAGTCTGTGGGTTTGGAGGGCAGGGTCCTTGGGTTCACTCTGGGAAAGATTTCACCAGAGTTCCCCTTTCAGCGGCACGCAGCGAGTTTCCCAGGTGAGTTTCTCCACGAGACAGACACGATAGTTATATTTGGAAGAGCAGGCTTACTAGAAAAGGGACAGAAGAGTAAAGTACATTTGCATAGACACAAGCGGGCAGAAAGAGCCAAAAAGGACAGGTTTGCTAAGAAGCCTGCATGGTTGCAGGCGGGCGGCCATGAGGAGAGCTGCCTCCACTGAGGGAGGTCAGTGAGGAGAAGTCCCGGCATGGCGCAGGACACGGGCAGGTAGGAAGCTGCTGCCCTGTGGAGGGAGAGAGTTGGTGAGAAGAGGCACCTGCATAGTCACAGGTGGGCAGAAAGACTGCTGCACCTTTGTAGGTGGACGGTTTGTGCCTCTGACACTCCCTACAGCAGTCTGATACCTGCCTGGGTGTTGCACTTCCTGATCGAGGGACACAAGGAGGACCTGAATTAGAGAGGCAAATGACTGAATATATAAATGGCCAATAGCTGGACCTTTGGTAGAAACAGAAGGTCTCACAACCTGCAGCCATGTTCCCAGGAAATCAGCACCTTATCAAGAATAACCAGCCCAGGAAGGCAGCCTGGTCGAAATCAGGCTTGTAAGGAAAGTCAGGCTGCAATCTCTGGTGATAGTCCAGGAAGCTAAAAATAAATTCTGTGGCAATTGATCCCGAATGGCAAAGTTCTTGATTAATAATTGACAGCTTCTCTAATTTTTGTCCCTCTTTTCTATTAGGGAGGAAAAGTTTTCCTGTACTTTTCAAGATTCTTTTAACTGAGCTAATAATTAAATTGATACAAGACAGATTAACAGGAGAAAAACAAAATAATTTCACACATATAGAACCCATGTACACGAGAGATTTAAAGACAGAAAGGTAAAGTAAGATATCCATGCCATTCTGAGCCAAGGAATGGGATAAGAATCTGGGGCTTCAGAGGGGAGGGGAGGGTAAGTCACAGGGCAATAAAAAGAGCAGAGGGGGCCTCCCTGCTTGTGCACAGGGTTAAGACGCAACACTATCTATCCACAGCCACTGCAGCATGAGTTCGATCCCCAGCCAGGGAGGTAACACACATGGTGCAGCAGACCTCTCTTGTCTTGCCCGCTGCTCCCCTCAGCAGTGTATTTCAGTAGATCCACCTGTCTGCTCCCCACTCTGTCTCTGATGAATCCTCTCACCCCTTGCACCTCTGGCCTACACCCCAGCTTTTGTATGCATAATCATATCAGTAGCCAATGCAGCACGAGTTCAATCCCTGGCCAGGGAGCAGACTCACATGGTGCAGCAGACATTGAGGTCAGACTGGGAGGGTTGGCCCTGGGGAGTGGCCGGACTCCGGAACAAGGAAAACTGTAGTCAGCCCAGTTCTGGCTCCCAGATGTGGCCAGGTGAGGGAGAGGCCAGGTACACACTGTTGACCAGGTAGATGCGACAGGACTGGAGCCTCTTGAGCAAGGGCCCCGGACAGTGGTCCTTGTTTTTCTCCTAAGGGGCCCCATGGGGGTGGCCCTGCAGGACACAGCCACCCACCCTTGTGTCTGTGTCCTCTTCTAGGCTGCTGACTTGGGACGCCTGCAAGCCCGAAGCCATCGGAGCCCCGCGCTGCGGCCTGGGCCATGGATTCTCAGGTCAGATGCAGCCTGTGCACGTTGTGCTGGGGGAGGGAGCAAAGGTGGCTGGCCTGGCCCCCACTTTACAGCAGCAGGAGGAGCCTCACATTCATAGTAAAAAAGAAAACAAAACTCTCGGTTCCCCATCCTCTTCCCTCCTAGCCGGGGCCTGAGGTCTAGCTGGAAGACCTTCTGTAGCATCTGGGAGAGGTCACCCTGAGGTCCTCGGGCACCTAAATTGTGCCTGGACTAAACTTGCCTTTGAACAGCATGGACGAGAAGGTCATGGCACAGCCCATCGAAAGCTTTTCATCCCATCTACGTACTGCAGTCCTTCTCGTCCCCTCCTCTGCCAAGTTCTGGAACTTCCTCGTGGTGCCCAGCCCCGGGGGCTCTTCTGTGTCCCCACCCTTTTCTCCAGCCATTCTGGGAGGTGTCCGCCACAGCCTCGTGATGTAGTCATTAGCAGGCTCAGGGGCCCAAGGTCTCTGAAGCCTGAGCACACAGCAGGGCCTCGTCCAGAAGGTTCTGTGTGTGCAACTGCAGAAGCTCCCGACGGAGGGTATCATGTGGCTCAGCTGGGCAGCTGGAGGGCTCAAGACATTGTGCATCAGGAGAGATGCCAGTGGCTTGAATGGAAGAGATTTCGGGGCTCCCCTTGTCCTGAGAAAGGCCTACTCTTGTGTCCAAAGCACTCTTGTTTGGTGCCATGATAACCTGCCCCTTATTCCTTCCAGCTGGAACTGTTGCCTCTTCTTTATGTTTTTGTGATGTCTCCAAGTCACAAGCCAAAGTCCTTGCTGCCACCTGTCCCAGCGTGCGCGTAGATGCCCTGAAGGGCTTTCTCCCAGGTCGTCCCTTCAGTAGGAAACGTGGATACAATCGCTTGCAGTGTTTTCTTTTTTTTTTCTCCTTCAAGATAAGAGAACTGAGACCCAGAAGTCACCCATTGGGGTTCACAGTGAGGGCTGAGGTTCACAGGAATTAGGGTTTGGCCTTCCCCCGCAGCAGAATTTTCATCCTATTACAGACAATTTTTTTATGTTTTCCTTTGACTTTTTTCCCTAGTGTTTTTTAAATTGTGGTCACACAGACGTAGCATAGCGCGAACAATTCAACCTTTTAAAGCTTATGATGCAGTAACATCAAGTGCTTTCATGTTCTTGTCCCTTCTGGGGCTCCAGACTGCCCAGCTGCAGCTCTCACCTCTGATAACCCCGTCCCCCACAGTCCCTGCCCGCTGCACTTTCTAGCTGTGAATCTGGCCATGAATCTGACCACTTGCAATGCCTCTGAGACCCAGCCTTGGTGTCTATCTTGGTCAACTCGTCTCACTCAGCAGTGTCTTGGAGTTTGGGTTCTTTTTTTTCTTAAAAGATTGATTTATTTATTTATGCATACAAGAACTGGGGTACAGGCCAGAGGTGTGTGGGGGGTGAGAGGATTCGTTCACCAGAGACAGAGTGGGGAACAGAACAGGCAGACTGACTGAAATACACTGCTGAGGGGAGCAGCGGGCGAGTTCAGGAGAGGTCTGCTGTGCCATGTGGGTAGCTCCCTGGCCGGCTGGGGATCGAACTCGTGCTGCAGGGGCTGCAGACAGCTTCATAGTGCAGTGCTTAACCCCTTGCGGCACCAGGGAGCCCCAGGATTTGTGTTCTTACACTATGTGGATGGCATGGTTCATATTGTAGCTTTTCTTCTTTGGATTGTTGTTTTTTTTTTTTTTTTAATTCAGAAAGAAAGTAAAAAGAATATTGACTTTGAAAGTTTGTTTGGGCAACAGGATCATTCCAACTTGTCAGATACACTGACTAGTTTTCCATCTTTTTCTCTGCATTGCCACTGATTTTATAGCCTGAGAGTTATTTTTGCCTCCTTTCAATAACTTTTATACTCTGTCCAGCAAGATCTCCTCAGTCCAGATTGTTTCTCTTAACGGAGTTCCCCCTATCAGGATAAATAACAGGATTAATACTGTCAGCTCTCCATCTTCGAACCATCCATTTCAACTTCTACTTCCTTTTTAGAAGGCCCGGCAACGTCATAGCTCCACGCTGGCTTATCAAGCTGTTTGTCCTTCGAATTGGATTTGCTCAGCCTCTGAGCAACTTCCTTTCTCCTGGAGCAGTCCAGCCAGTTCTTGGGGTTCTTGATTTGCCCATCAAAATGGGGGTCTCTCCACATTGCTTTCCTACCACCTGGCCCTGAACATTGACTTTGTGGGTTACCCACTTGTGGCTTCCAGACCTGTCCCTTCCTTTCCCTCCTTGTCCTGAATTTTTGTGAGAAAGACAAAGGTCACTGGCCCTGTATTTGAAACCTGATCTGGGGTAGCTGGTGGCACGGCCCTGGATCCAGACTTTGGACACCATGTTTACCAGCCTCTGGGTCAGAAGGAAGTCAGCAGGCAGAGGCTGCACTATTAGCCAGCTTCCAGGGAGGGCAGGGCCAGATACCACAAGCGGGTGACTTAGGACATCAGAATTAGCCCCTCATGTGCCGGACTGGAAGTCTGAAATCGGGGTGTGAGCAGGGCTGCTCTGTCTGGTGCCTCCCCGGCTTCTGGAGACTTCTGCCATCTTGGTGCTTCTGGACTTGTAAACACTTAGCTCCCGCGTCAGCCATTTGTCTTCATGAGCTTTTGTCTCAGTGGAAAAACTCCCCTCTCTCCTCGTGAAACACCTGTCCTTGACTTAGGGCTTGCCCGCACCCACTATGGCGTCATCTTGACTTGGTCACATCTGCGAAGACCTGCTTCCAGACAAGGTCACGTTCGCAGGATTAGCACCTGAGCTTTTCTTTTGGGGGACATAATTGAACCCACAACTCTGCCCCAGTCCTTGTTCCTTCTCTCCCAACCAGGACATCTCCTTGAACATGTTCTTTAAGCTGCCTTGTGCCTCCCGGCCTCACGGTATAGGACTCGTAAGGATTGAATGTAATAGAGGTTTTACATGAAATTTTTCCTTTTTTTTTTTTAAAGATTTATTTATTTATGCATACAAGAGCTGGGGCACAGACCAGAGCTGCAGGGGGTGAGAGGATTCACCAGAGACAGAGTGGGGAACAGAATAGGCAGAGTGACTGAAATACACTGCTGAGGGGAGCAGCTGGAGAGACAGGAGAGGTCTGCCTCGCCATGTGGGTTTCTCCCTGGCTGGCTGGGGATCGAACTCGTGCTGCAGAGGCTGCAGATTGCTTCATAGTGTGGTGCTTAACCCCTTGCGCCACCAGGAAGACCCCCCCTTTTTTTAAGATTTATTTATGCATACAAGAACTGGGGTACAGGCCAGAGGTGTGGGGGGTGAGAGGACCCACCAGAGAGACAGAGTGGGGAGCAGAACAGGCAGAATGACTGAAACACACTGCTAAGGGGAACAGCGGGGAGACAGGAGAGGTCTGCTGCACCCTGGGGGGCAGCTCCCTGGCCGGGGATCGAACTCGTGCTGCAGTGGCTGCGGACAGCTTCATAGGTTGTGTCTTAACCCCTTGTGCCACCAGGGAGGCCCAAATAATTCCTTTTTTAGACATAATTTTGGAGAAGGGATGAATAGCACTATATAAGCACCTTTTTTGTGCATTCTATTTCTTTTATTGAGGTGTAATTGCCATCTAACATCACGTTAGTTGCATAATGTTTGATGTTTGTAAATATTGCAAAGCAATCACTACACGGTAAATTCCATTTATACCATCACCTGACTGTTATGAGACTTTTTTTTTCACGTCAGAAGGGTAATGTGCCGATGTTGTAACAAGGTTTAAGGGAGGCACATCTCACACAGCCGCGTGAACACCCAGTCATCATGCTTATGAACCGGAAAAGGATCTATGAGACTTTTTTCTTCTTGTGATGAGAACTTGTAAGATGTATTCACTTGGCAGCTTTCAAATGTGCAATGCATTGTTATTAACTGTAGTCATCGCTCTACACTGTGCCTCATAACTTGTTTTACAGCTGGCAGTGTGTCCCTGTGTGTATACAGTTGTGTATACAGTTGGTCAGTTTCACTAGTTCTGTCCATCCCCCACTTCCAGCCTCTGCAAACACCAATCTGTTATCTCTGCAAGCTCAGTTGTTTGTTTTGGGGGTTTTGCTTGTTTGTTTTGGTTTTTTTTTTCTTCAGATTCCACATAGTGAGATCATGTGCTATTTGTCTTTCTCTGTTTGACTTATTTTACTGAGCTTAATGCCCTCATAATGTTGTTACATACGTGTGTGTGTGTGTGTGTGTGTGTGTGTGTGTGATGTCTGATTTTCAATGTATGAATGGACACTTAGGTTGCTTTCATGTCTTGGCTACTGTAAGTAATGTTGGGGCCACGAATTTGGGAGTGCAAATATCTTTTTGATATTTTCTTCCAATAAATAGCCCGCAGTCAAATTGCTGGATCTTATGGTAGTTCTTTTTTTTTTTTTTTTTTTTTTAAAGATTTATTTATTTATACAAGCACTGGGGTGGCCAGAGGCGCAGGAGGGTGAGAGGCCCCACCAGAGACAGAGCGGGGAACAGAACAGGCAGAATGACGAAGTACACTGCTGAGGGGAGCAGCGGGCGAGACAGGAGAGGTCTGCTGCGCCCTGTGGGACCCTCACCGGCCGGCTGGGATGGAACCAGCACTGCAGAGGCTGTGGACAGCTTCACCGCGCGCCGCTCAACCATCTGTGCCACCAGGGGAGGCCCTCTGCCCACTTTTTAATTAGATTGCTTGGTTGGTTTTTGCTGTTGAGTTGTATGAGTTCTTTATGTATTTTGAATATTAGCCCCTTGTCAGATACATGATTTGTAAATATGTTCTCTCATTCAGTGGCAGACCTTTTCATTTTACTGATGATTTTCTTGACTCCGCACAAGTTTTTTTTTTTTTTTTAATGTTTGTGTCATCAGCTGATTATTTCTTTTATTTTTTTTTTTAAAGATTTATTTATTTATTTATACAAGCACTGGGTACAGTCAGTAGCGCGGGAGGGTGAGAGAATTCACCAGAGCCAGAGCGGGGAGCAGAGCAGGCAGAAGGACCGAAGCACACTGCTGAGGGGAGCAGCGGGTGGCAGGAGAGGTCTGCGCGCCATGTGGGACCCTCCTCCAGTGGCCGGGGAGCAGCCGGGGATCGAACCGGCGCTGCAGAGGCCGCGGGCAGCTTCGCAACCCAGCGCTCAACCACTGCGCCACCGGGGAGGCCCCCTCGCACAAGTTTTTTAGTTTTGATGTAGCCCCTCATGTTTATTTTTGCTTTTTGGTGCCAAATCTAAGAAATCATTGCCAAGACCAGTGCCAGGCTGCTTCCTGCCTGTATCTTCTTCTCGGAGTTTATGGTTGGGTCTTACATTCAAGTTTTAATCCATTTTGAATGAATTTGTGTGTGGTGTGGAACCGCGCTTCTGTTTCATTCCTTTGCATGTGACTGTCCGTTTTCCCAACACTACTGAAGGGCCCGTCCTTTGCCCATTGTGCGTTCTTGATTCCTGTCTCATGAATTCATTGACCAAATATGTGAGTTTATTTCTGGGTGTTCTGTTCTGTCCCATGATCTGTGTACCTGATTTTTTATGACACTACCACACTGTTTTTATTACTCTTTGCATTTGCTCAATTTAAAACAATTTGTTCCCTAAAAGTTTTCTCTGTTTTTTTTTTAATGAAAAATATTAAAGACTTAGGAACTAGAGATAAAATTTACCTGCATCATCATCTGCTATCACCCCAGTTTATCTGGACAAAGCTCCGTCTCCCTCACCTTCGAGATTATTCTCTTTCATCCTAGGTCTTTTGGTTCTTCCGATTAGTTCTTTTGATCTGACCTGCTACAAGTGCTCACCTTTGTTTGCCAAGAACCTTCCCCAGGTGCAGCCAGGACAGCAGACACGTCCGGGGGCCCAATGTGCCGCTGCAAGAGCTGCTCCCTGGTCATGGGGCGTGGTCGTGGGGAGTGGTTGGGTTCTCTAGCCCCTGGGCCGGCTGAAGCAGGTGCACCCTCAGGGCTCCCTGTGGGTTTAGGGTAAAGAGGGACCAAGGGGAGGCAAAATATACCTGCCCAAAGCAGTGTTACCTGTCATTTCAACATTTACTGAAAAAGTGCTGGCTGCACAATCCCCTCCTGGTCCCACAAAGGAGACTGGGCAAGAAAGAGCTCCCTGTTCGGTGTGCACCAGTAAAGGTGGGCTCAGGTTGGTGAAAGACACATGGAATTTGGCAAAAGCCCGGAGATCCATTGATGACGCCTCCATGATGGTATTTGACTTTCTGGAAACAGCCTTTGGAGCTTCTTACCCTGAAAGGGAGCTCATTGCAGCAGGAGTCAAGCAGATGGTAGGCGATGCCCTCTGCAGAATCAGGCCTCCTCTTAGACATCCGCAGGGCCTTGCTTGAAGCAGGTGCTGCAGGCTCCATGGACCTCTGCCTGCGAGCCCTGCTGCAGGAGCCCAGTGCCCAGCAAGACCCACACCTCTCTGGCTGGTGAAAGCATTTCAGGCCGGCTGGCCTAGAGCCTTGTGCCAGCTCTGCCTGGACAGGTCTCCTGACGCCCCTTTCACCCTAGGTCAGCAATGGCGCAGGCCTCCGTGATGAGCGCATCACAAACTTGCTGTTGTTTGGCTTCCTCCAAAACTGCTCCAACGCCAGTTTCCACCATGAGCTGTTGACCCTGTGCTGTGAGCTGCCCCAGCTGCCCAAGGTGCAACCGCAGGGTCTCAGGTACCAGAGTGATTTCGGTGAACTGAAAGCCCCAGACGACGAGCTGCAAACAGACGGCAACTTCAGCAGCCACTTCGAGGGGGAGGAGCAGCAAGGTAAGCCTGTGGCCCAGCCGCCTCCCCGTAAACCTGGGCTTTGCTCTCAGTAACATTTAGGGACCCAGAGTGCCAGAGGGGTGCTGGGTGCTCAGCCACCTCTGAGGTCTCAGTACCGCTTTGTTTCTGTTGCCTGGTGCTTTGCTCTATGCCCCGTGAGTGTCCAGTTGGCTGAAATCCACTCCATTTCTCGATGATTCTTTGTATCTGTGCCTTACTCACAAGTCATAACATGTATGAAGCATAAGTGTATCTACAGACAGACTGGGGCACCGAAGCATCAGAGCCTCACTTCCAGGTGAGGAAGCTGAGGCCAGAGAAGGTAAAACAGTGCGCTCTAAGCCAGGGACAGTGAGCATAGCCAGCCTTGGCCCTGGCGCGGGCCCCGCCGTGCCCCCAGCAGGCGTCACCCCAGCTGCTGCCTCCACAGTTGGAGACCACCCTGAGCTGAAGGCCAGCGAGGGTGCCGAGGACCAGCCACTGCAGCCTGGAGCCTCGAATAGTGGTTCTCAGTTGTGTGTGCGCTGGAATTCCATGGAAGCTTCTCAATGCTCTGGGCCCTGATCCATCCAGCTGCCGGGACCAGCATATTCTAGCCAGAGAGTCCCCAGATGTTTCTGATGTACGCCCTGGCTAAATCAGTGCCCCCAAAGGCCAAGGTGAATCTGAGGACCCGAACCAGGCTCCCAGCCTAACAAGTTAGCCTGTGTTGACCTCAGCCCCCTCAGCCTCCTGACGGACGAGGCTGCACTGCCCTCTGGTGGCCGCGGGGGAGACCTCCCGCCCACGAGCCTGTGGACTCCAGCTTTGTCTTAAATTAGGCGGGTCGGAAGGGGCAGGGTCTCTGCCGGCCAGGCCCGCTGGTGTGTCTTCTGCTGGTCTTAAACAAAACACCCTCTCTGAAGAAGGCGCCCACCCCAGGCGCCTTCTCTGCAGCTGCACTTCTCTGCAAGCCTCTCTGATGTCCACCTGGGTGCGCTGCCCTTGAGCTCCTGAGCCATCTTGCCCTCCAGGCCACGCTCCACACGCCACAGCAGGCCTGGGTGTCTCATCGTCACATGGCACTAAGTGTATTGTGGAGGACGGACTGGAGGGCATGGCGGGGTTAGGACACTATTGTCACCATCCAGATGGGCGCTATGGAGGCCTCACGCCCCGGGGTGGCCGTGGGAGCACGCAGGAGTGACAGTTGTGTCTGTCCTGAGAGTGAGACCTGATGAGTGAGTGGGGCCGCAGCGATGGCCACGGTGTGGGTAAAGGAAATTTCTCTCCTGGGTGAATAAGAAGCCAGAGGGATGTTGCAAGCCCAGAAAAAATACAAGATTTAATGGGTGAACAATAGCTGACATTTATTGAGTACCTACTAGGAGCCAGGTACAGAGTTCGTTCATTCAGACATGTAATTATTAAGCACCTGTTGTGTGCCTTGCATGGCTTTTTTTTTTTTTAAATTTATTTATTTATCCATATAAGAGCTGGGGTACAGGCCAGAGGTGTGGGGGTGCGAGGATTCACTAGAGACAGACTGGGGAACAGAACAGGCAGACTGACTGAAATACACTGCTGAGGGGAGCAGGGGGCGAGGCAGGAGAGGTCTGCTGTGCCATATGGGTAGCTTCACGGCTGGGGATCGAACTCGTGCTGCAGTGGCTGTGGATAGCATTCATAGGTTGTGTCTTAACCCCTTGCACCACCAGGGAGGCCCCTTGCATGGCTTTTGGTGCTGCATATTTGGTGGTACGTAAAACAGATTAAAAAATCAGAGCCAGGGCCTCCCCTGGTGGTACAGCGGGTTGAGTGCAGCGCTGTGAAGCTGTCCTCAGCCTCTGCAGCACAGGTTCGATTCCCGGCCAGCCAGGGAGAAACCCACATGGTGCGCAGACCTCTCCTGCCTCGCCCCCTGCTCCCCTCAGCAGTGTCTTCGGTCCATCTGCCTGTTCTGTTCCCCGCTCTGGCTCTGGTGAATTCTCTCACCCTCCCATGCCTCTGACCTGTACCCCGGTTTTTGTATAAATAAATAAATCTTTAAAAAAACAAACAAACAAAATTAGAGCCTTTGGGACAGTCACATTCCAGCGAGGGAGGCAAAGCACTGACAGGTAACATAGTGATGGGCGGTGGGGGTGGGGGGTCTGGTGTCCATCTTGGTCAGAGGAGCATCTGAATAAACCGAAAGAAGCGAGAGGAGGAGCCAAGCTCTCTGGGAAGGCCAGAGAGGAGGAGTTAGGAAGAAGTTTCCACTAGAGAGGCGAGGCAGGTTGCATAGGGGTCAGAGCCCCAGGGGTCAGAGTGCAGAGTAAAGACGAGCAGCGTTGGAGGGAGCCGCCATCAGCAAGCCATGGCAGAGGTGGGGTCTCCCTCGGTCTGACGGCAGCACTTCTATGCTAGCAACTGCCTGGGGTGACCCCTGTATTTGGTGGGGTGTAGAGCTGGCGGCTGTCAAGGCTGCTGCCAGACTGTGCCCTCAGGTGCCCAGAGGCCTGGACGTCCCACGGCTGACCCTGGCATAGGCAGGGTTGACACTGTTCAAGGCAGAGGCCTCCATGCCCAGCCTGTCTGCTGCTCACTCGCATCCGTCCTCTGCCCCAGCTCTCTGCCTGGCTTCCCTGGACAGCTGGGACCACTGTGGGCCGCTGTGGAAGCGAGAGCGGGCTCGGACCCAGAGCAGAATCCCTTCCTCTTGCCAGGGTGGGGGGAGAGGGAAGGGGTAGAGGAGGGCCTTTGTTGACCCTGCCTTGTCTTGGCCTGTACACACAGATTCTGAGAGCCAAGAGGAGATCATCCGGGACATCGCCAGGAACCTGGCCCGGATAGGAGACAGCCTGGATAGCAGGATCCAGCCGGCGCTGGTGAACAACCTGGCCGCCCAGTTCCGGAACCCGAACCTGTCAGAGGATGTGAGTGAGGCGCCCGCTGTGCCTTCTGGGCTTGGCGAGAAAGCGTTGGGCTTGGCGAGAAAGCGTAGGGCGTCCAGTAGCCAGTTGAATCACCAAGGTCTGTCCGCTGTCCCCCATCAGACAGGCGGTGCTTGGTGAGGACACTCGGCGCATGACTGTCCACGAAAGAACCAGAAATAGAATCAGAGAGTGGCTGGTTGTCTTTCAGAAGAATTAAGGAAACGTGAACTTTTAAGTCAGAAGCAACAGTTTGGCGATAAAAGTCTCCTGAGAGATGAACAATACATATCTAACTCTTAGAAAAATATGTCACTGTTTCCTCAGGTTTAGGGAGTTGAATCCAAATCCCCGTTGAGAACCTGATCTCACTTACCCAGGTGTGGCGAGGAGGGTGGCGCTGCGGCCCACTGCTGTTGACTCTGGTTAAATCAATAAACAGAGACTTCCAGTGCTTCTGCATTTGCTGAGCACTGGGGGCCACAGCGAGGCCTGAGGCACTATGTCCTCTGTGAGGAGACAGCAGGATACCCCTAGTCAATACATGCCACAGATGTCCACAGGAGAGAGAGGGCCCGTCTTGACTACCACCGAGGATGCAGTGCCCTCATTGCCTGGAAAGGTCTCAGCTTCTAGGATTGAGCCAGGGCAGGCCCCCTGCCTCCACGGAGGCCCGTCCCCATTGTATGAACCCCCATCTGCCAAGCCCCAGCAGCTCCGGGGCCTCGCCCTCAACGTCAGCACGTCTGCGTGTGAGCCAAGGAGCTTTTGAAGGTCCTCTCCTAGCTAGCGCCTGTGAGGTGCCTGCCGTGGAGGGGGTCGCATCCTGTGCATCCCCCCTCATCTGCTAGTTCCTTTGACCGGTCTGCACCCGTAAGGTAGGCCAAGACTGCCCCGCGTGGTTAACTGAGTCTTGATTTTTAAGGCCCTTGGAGGCAGGGGGTGGAGGACATAGGCTGCTGCTTTTCATTGAAGTGACAGCGGTTCACGGCGTTAGGCAGCTTCTGTGTCAGCATCTGTGCGGGCCGCGTTACGCTGGTGGCAGAAACGAAGCCTTCATGCCCTGGCGGTGTCTGATGGTGACGATGCTCGGCCAACATGGACCGAGCTGCGTCCACCCAGGGCAGTCGCTCTGCCCTTTTGTCGTGTCTCAAAGCTAGATTGTTCCTCATTCTCTCGCCCAGTCTCCCTAACTGTTGAACAGCTACTTGCCCCTGAAGTGAAAGTGTGCTTCATCCTCCTCCCTGAGGGGTGCTCTCCCTTGCAGAGGGCAGCGGATCTGTAAGCGCATCTGTCTCACCCTAATAGGAGAGAAAGAAGTATCTGGCCACCGTGCTGGATCAGCTCATGCAGACTTTCCCCAAAGACACAGAGAAGGAGAAGATGATGCTGATGCTGACCATGCTGCTGGCCAAGAAGGTGGCCGATCACACGCCATCCCTGCTCCGCGATGTCTTTCGCACGACCGTGAACTTTATTATTAACCAGAACCTCCTTACCTACGTGAGGAACTTAATCAGAAACGTAAGAACCAGTGAAGTCAAGCCCCTGGTCTCTGCTCCTCCCCCCACCGCACCCACGTCCCCGCAAGGCCTGGAGACCCAGCAGCGCCCTCCGCGTGGGCTCCGTCCAGCCCTGCCCCTGCTCTGGAAGCCACCAGGATGGCTGCCAGACTCCCTGCTCGGGCTTGGCTTGCCTTCGTGAGCAGGAGCAGGTGATCGTAGACACCTGGTGCTCGTCTGAGCTTCATCAGTTTTATTTTTAAGACGTGCTGCTATCAGAGAGGTGGGGAAGGCTTCCCTCTAGTGATAAAATTGCAATCACAGGCAAGAGTATGGTGTAGACGTGTCCTGTAGGATGATACAGACGTGCAGTCATGTGGTATAGACATGAAAGAAAGGAGGAGGCCCAAGATGAGCTTCTCAGTCTGCTTCCAGCTTCCCCTTGTCATAAAAATGTGTAAATTCCTAACAAACGTGTTTACCAAGGATAATGGATGAAAGACCAAAAGAAATGGTCAAAAAGGAGCAGAAATACTATCTAAAATCCTTCCCAGGAAGCATGCCTCCCACGGTAGGGCTATTAACAGCATGGCTCTTCGGGACGCAGCTCAGGAAGAGCCAGGCTGTCCTCCAAGTCTGGTGCTTCCGTTTCACAGACCCACAGGAAGTGAAGTGGCTGTCTCTCATTTGTACACTTGAAAATATTAGTGAATGTTTGAGATTTTACACGTCAGCTTTGCTCGGGCAGCTGGTGCTCCTGATACTTACTGAGAAGCCTGACGAGCGCCCTCTGCTGTCTGTGCAGCAGATCGCCAGACACCGGGAGGCTGAAGCCCAACCCTGGTTCCCCAAAGATGCCTCTTGGCCCCATGGTGATTCAGTGGGTGTGAATCTAGATCTTTGCACGTTGAAAGCCTATGTTTTTGCAGCTGCTCTCACGCAGCAAAAAGTAGGATGCAGGGATGCAGGGGTCATTCTGGGCTCCAGAGAGTGTTTTTGCACAAACCCCAACTTCCCTTCTGTGGCTGGGGCACTAGTGATCTTAACGCTTCATCCTGCCTTTTGCATCAGACTGACTGACCCTGCCTGTCTTCCTTTCTTGCTCTAGGAGATGGACTGAATGGAGGCCTCTGCAAAGCACGACTGGTTAAAACTTGCTATGGTGACAGCAGAAGATAGCTGCCTCCCACGAGATGGAGCCAGGCCATTTAAGCAAATTTCTGAAGATGGGCATGAGAAAGTAGCTATTTATTTCTCCCTCTCTTAAAGATGATGCTTGAAGCCGGTGATCCATTTAGAAATCTCTACATTAATATACTTGAATGAAAATGTCCATGCACATGCTTGAATGACTTTCGTGCCATCTTCTAAGTCCACCTGTGTACTGTGTCTTTACCTTATTTCAGGTCCCCACTTGGAAATTAAATTAAAAAAACAGATTGTTGAAGAAAAAAGCGCAGGTTGTAAGGCAGAAGAAAAACACACTTAGATACTTGTTTTTTAAAAAATCCTCCATTGTTTATTAAAGTGCAGCCTTGGGGAATGGCCTCTCCATGGGCAGTATTGTGTTTGAGGAGGGCGAGGATTGGGGGACGGACAGACGTACACGGTCCTTACAAATGAAAACCGCCTCTCATCGGCCCCCTCAGCTTAATACTGAGAAGTAACCTTCCTGTTTAAAAACCAGACAGCTTAAGAGGTACAGGACTAAGTTCTGTACTCAAATAATGGAAAAATCAGGCCTCAAAACCTGTGTTTGATGTTTTTGAATTTAATTTCCTGTTGAGTCAAGATGAACAGTAGGCGGTTAAAGGGTGTGGAGGTGACGGAAGGGTTCCGAAGTCAGGTAACTCAGGATACCTTTCCTCTTTTCAAGAATCAAGGCTTTGCTAAACATCTTCAGCTGCATGCCAGAAGGTACCGCCTACATCGGCAGTGCCTGTTAATATTCTAGCTTTCATTTCCAGCCATCCCGCCTCAGCTCATCCATGCCTAAGAAACTGCATCTGGAAACAACAGATTTCTAGGCCTAAGAGATGAAAGAGCAATCAGACTTTTAAAAGCTGAGGTGGTTCCCTTTCCTAGTGACATAGTATATCGGGAATAACAAAAGCGAGTCACTTCGGTTGTGCTAAAGGAACCAGGAGCGCTGACATTTAGCATGAGGGCCACGCTGGTGTGCCGTCCCGGGAGAGGGGTCTGCTAGGATTCCCAACGCGAGGGAGTGACAGACGCGAGGGCCACATGACACACTCCCTTTATCCAACAGCGCTGCCCTTGTTACCCTGAATGTGACGCTCTGGAAAGGACATGAACAAGAGTAATAAATAAAGCTTTCTCCTTACCAAGAACACTTTTCTGTTGCTCAAGAGTTTAAATTTGTCAGAAAAGTAACTCCACCCTTCAGCATTGACTACATAGCACACCAGGGCCGAGTTCGCAGTCTGATACCTGCGACACCTGCAAATACTCGAAGGAAGTAGACACTTGTCTTGCAGCGTGAAGACCACATTTGGGAATAAATGTTCCGGTAGCAATTCTATGAATGTTTTGGAGTGATTTTTTTTTTTTTTTTTTTTAAGGATTCCTCTCACAGTGGGAACAAGTTGAAGCACACCTGCAGACACATACACATCCACTTCTGAATCAGTGTAATCAAGTTCTCACTAGGGGGAGATGTTTTCTTCCAGAAGGAGCAATTAAGATACAGGTAGTCAACTCTGAAGTAACAGGAGAGAAAAGAACTCTAAAACAGCCAATAATCCTAGACTCTCTCTTACCAACTTTCACTCTTTCAAGGCATCTTTATCTTTCACTGTTTTGTTTAAGTCATACAGTAGGTGTGAATTTTTCAAGACCGAGTCAGATAGATACACTCTCGGTCTTATAGGATTATCACTTCTCCACAAGCCAATTCTAAAAATGATTCCACTGTATCAAAAACATGTTCCATTCCCAGCCACAAGGACTCAGGCTAGTCCTGGACATTGGTAGATTTTCCATCTTGTAATTAAGAGAGTTTCATCCTGTTTTTGTTGTTGCTGTTTTAATATTTGCACTAGGTGATGGAAATGCTTTGGTTAAAACTAAAAATCACCACCAAAAGATAGATGCTTGGCATGTCTCTTCAGCGAGGGGACTGCTCCGTGTATCCTGAAGGTCTGATCAGCCCCCCCTCCCCCAGCATCGACTCCTGAAAGGCTAAAAGCACCAACGTCTGCTCTTATTTTCCCACAATTTCATTAGCTGCGCCGACCAGGAACTTGCACAGAGTGTCCTTTGGATGTTATGATTGTGTTTTCAGGACCTGAAGTGAAACCAAGTGTGTGTGTGCTTGTGAGGACTGCAAGATTATCTCAAATGGTCCCACCTGCGTGGAGGGCAGAAGGTTACTGTGAATAAAGACGAGTCTGCTGATTATCTTCAGATCTCATTTTATTACAACCTGCGGCGTGTTCTCCTCAACACATTGCTTCTAGCAGAAAGCACAATTTATAGATGGAGGCTTTGTTCCTTTCTCCTGATGAAGAGCAGATGAGCCAAAAGGTAGAAACAGGAGGGGCGGGAGGGGGTGGGGCACCAGAATAAGCCACGATGAGTCAGTGTAGCGAGGGTGCCTGCCGGAACTTCACTTTGAAAAAGGAAATACATGCTGCTTAGGCCAAACATGTTAACCTCGTTACCAGAATTGTCGCTTAATTCCAGTCATTTTGAGGAGATGAGGGCATCAAAACCAGTCACGCATTGAACTCAGTTCAAGGAATGAGTTAGGTAGAAAGAGGCACTTTTAATTTGAAGGAAGAACGAAATGGAAGACTACATTAGCAGGAAGATCACAGTTCCGGGAAAAATGTTATCTTTTCCTTTGGTGCCCGCCAAGGACTGACCTATATAATACAATTCTCTTGCTAGAAATCACTAGGAACCATCCAAGTTATTCCAGACTCTGCAACAGGGAAAACTGTACTTCAGCTTCCTTTTATTCCTGAAGGAGGCAACAAACCAGTAACTTTAAATCAAAATTTGTGCTAAATAACCAGTTTGTTCTCGGTGCAAAGAACACACTGAGGTGAGTGATATCACTATAAAATTTCCCCTTAGGAGAGGTGAGAACAGGGCCAAGTCCCCTTGAGCCAGCTGCTCCTTTTGACTGAAAAGGCCTTGCGACTATCCCTGAGAACAATTCCAACCTGAGCTGACAGTGAAGCAGCCGCCTGGTGAGGGCCCCTGTCTTGTAAACAAACATGGGGAAGACCCTGATGCTTTCAATTCAGGGGAATGTGGCAAGCAGAGGTGGGAGTGGGGTGTTGAGTGATGTGTACGGAAGAATGTACTAATATTTTATTACCATGACAGTTTCCAACTCTCCATGGAGCTCTGAATATAAGGTAACTGAAAAATAGTGACTGGATTTTAAGCCGCCAGTATTCCGTGCTCCCCAGCACACTGTGAGAATGGGGGGTTTTTTACCAGCAAGGCATGCTGGTCAGTCTTCCTGGCTGAGGTGGTGACCTCCGAGGGCCTGAGGGCAAGCCATGCCTATCGCTTGCCCCCCTTCACACTCAAGCTGTGGCACAGGCAAGGCAGAAGGGAAGAGAAAAAGGTTGTAGTGATACTTGCGAACTATTTGGCAGTAACTCCTGTGTCAGATGAGCCTTGTGCACTTGCAGACATATTTAACATTAAGAAGGGAATGCAAGAGCTACTCCAGTGATAACTGTGTATTTAACCATGACACGTCTCATTCAGTATTTGAAGAGAAAACTGTCCAGTACAATTACAAGTTGGGAACCATCCTGGCCCTCATGTCACTCTTATGCACCTGTAATAGAACATGCTCGCGAGTTAGGCTGTGCGCGAGGGAGAAGAAGGCTCCCCTCTTCAGGGCGCGGGGCTCACCTCACAGCTTGCAGAGAGCCTGTCGCTGCTGCTCTGTGGGACCAGAAAAGTGATAAAAACAGATAAAAGCCCCAGACTTGGAATCAAAAATTCAAACCACTGCCTTGTCTCTCATATGCTAGAACACATTAGAAAAGTTTTTGAACTCTGGTTAGGTTGCTGTGGTCTATAAAATGTGAATAAGAGGAGTGTGAAGCTACCAGAACTCTGAAGGTGAAACAGTATGTCAGGGCATGAGAACAATCTCTGGCGTATTGTAAATACTCAACATTTGCTAAAGTTGCTATTACTCACACTTTAGGGAAAATTATATTCTCTCATGGAAAAAAGATGCATCCTAACAACCCACACAGAGGGGCCTCCTCAGTGATGAGCAGCTTAGCGGGAAGCTAACAGCAGAGCTTGGTCCTCTTGAGAAGAGGAAACATTTTTCTGTCATCAGTTGTGTTGCTAATACTTGAAGTGAGAGCGTGTGAGGAATTAGTTCAAAAGGTAGAAGCTATTTCTCTTCAAAAAGTAGAAGCTGTTTTTCTTAAGTAACCAGAAAACCTACAGGTCCTCTTGATGAAAATTACTACAAATTTATTAAAAGTCTGAGTAAAAAGAATGAGAAAGAACTTCTTGCCTATAATACCTTTTAATACTACGAAATATCTCAATGTTAAAATTCTATGAGCATGACATTTGTCCACATATTGTGCCCGCAGGGGAGAAGGCAGGGAGCGGGCATGTCTTTCTACATTGTCGGAGGAAGTTAGCACAAAGGCTGAGGGAATGATTTCTATGGGAAGTTAATGGCTGCTGTGCTTCAAAACATGCCCCTGGATTCACTGCTTATCCTGCTCGGGACAAATCTAGGTAGTGGCTGCACTTGATTTAAGAGAAGGGACTGAAACAGGTGAGAGGGGACCCCGAGGATGCCCTCGGGTGGCGAACATGTGAAGCTGATGGTGTAGGGTGAGGTAAAAGTATCAGGCTTTTCCGCCCTCCCGCCATCAGGATAGATGATGGATCCTTGCGGCCCTGAATGCATGCCTGATGGCGGGCACCTGGAGGAGGGTGTGGGCCTAGGTAGATGGGATTCACCTGGGCTGAGACTGGGCTTGTAAGGGCGGCGTCATGGGGACACCAGCAGAAGCAGAATGAGAAGCTGAGAAAGAAGCAGAGCAGAACAGAAGCCGAGAGAGAGAAGGCCGGAGAGCCCAGATAGAGTGAAGACTTGCTGGGGGTTGGGAGGCCTGCCAGCCTCCCGGCCCCCCAGCACCCCTACCTGTAAATCCCAATAAAAGCCTGAAAAGCCACTGAGGGCTCCAGGACTCTCTCCTCTTTTACCCCGGTCTGCAGGATCAGAAAACCTGCTCAGTGGCCCAGTCCTGCCCTTACAATTGGCGTAAGTCGGCAGGATGATCCATGCAGACGGGTATGGAGCCCTCTGAAGACCTGGAGGGACTGAGGAGTAACAGACTGTGTGTGCCTGTGACGACGCTGGAGGCGTCATGGCGGCACAGGAGACAGACAAGGTCCGGGAGCTGCGGGACGAGAACTCGCGTGGAGGAGACGCCCGGGAGGACCAGCCAACGACCCCCGAGGCAGCAAGAATCGTCGGGGAAGAGAGGAACCCGGTTCAGAGCTCGCCAGTGCTGATGCAGGGAGAGGCCTGATGGACCTAGACTGATGGACATGGACTGACAATCCCGCCAGAAGGAGGAGGAACTTTGGCAAGTTAAGTTTTTGGGACCCTGGGGGAGGATGCTATTGTTTGTACACCCCAGGAGATGGGAATCTGGGGGTGGCCAGTGGGCCTTGATGGCCAAAAGTAGCCTGTGTATGCCCAGCAGCCAGGCGGAGGAGAAAAGCGCACTGAGAAGGCAAAAGCTGGTGCTGATGCTAAGTTTGGGAAGCCCTGAGTGGCTGTTAAGGACTAATTAAGCTGAGGAAGGCCAGTGAGTCTCGTAAAATCGCCTGTGGGTGACGCCCTGCTCGTTGTCGAGTGAGGGTGAGGATGTGAGGAACCCGTCCTTGGGGGATGGGTGGGGAACGTGGCTTGGGGTGGAGCCCAAGCCGAAGAGGGGACCCAAGAGAGGCCGCATGTAAAGTTTGGATCCCGACCCATGTGCGTGTGCTGTGGGTTGGCCTGAGTGCAGGGGTCTGTGTGTGGCATGGGTGGCTGTGAAGGCCGAGTGTTGGAGCGACCGCAGACAGAAACCCTGAGGGTTGGCAATTACCCCCAACAGTAGAATAGAAGCGCCAGTCCCAGAGCTAGTGCATCCTGGGGGTGGATGCGGTGTGTGGCTTGTAGCCGAGACCACAGCCAGAGAAGGCCAGGAAGCCTGACGGCTCCTGGTGTGTGACAGTAGATCCCCTCCCTCGTATGAGCAGTGCCTTCGGCAGCAGATTTGGTGGCTCATCTGCTGGTGCCAGTAATTGTCTTTTGCACTAGGTTGGTGTCCTGCCTGGACTTATTTGTGTTCTGTTGTATTGTTATATATTTCATTTGCTTTTGTGGGCCATGGCTGCAGTGTTCTATTGCCGAGAAATGTACATGATGTTTAGACTGTCTGGCAGAAAACCCTGAGGGGGTGGACTGTAGGGTAAGGTAAAAGTATCAGGCTTTTCTGCCCTCCCGCCATCAGGATGGATGACGAATCTGCGGTCCTGAATGCATGCCTGATGGCGGGCACCTGGAGTGGGGTGTGGGCATAGGTAGATGGGATTCACCTGGGCTAAGACTGGGCTTTTAAGGGCGGCATCATGGGGATGCCAGGAGAAGCAGAACAAGAAGCCGAGAAAGAAGCAGAACAGAAGCCGAGAGAGAGAGAGAGAGAGAGAGAGAGAGAGAGAGAAGGCCAGAGAGCCCAGATAGAGTGAAAATTTGCTGGGAGTTGGGAGGCCTGCTAGCCTCCCGGCCCCCCAGCACCCCTATCTGCCATGTACCCGGTAAATCCCAATAAAAGCCTGAAAAGCCACTGAGGGCTCCAGGACTCTCTCCTCCTTTACCCCGGTCTGCTGGATCAGAAAACCTGCTCAGTGGCCCAGTCCTGCCCTTACAGATGGTAACAGTTGTTTTTATCTACAAAGCTTTCTGGAGAGCGGTAATCATCAGGAGAGTCCCCCTAAGGCACACTAGATATTGACTGATTTTTGTGGGCCCACAATGGTTCCATTGTAATACAGAGAGAATACATTGGCATTCTTTAATTGTTTTTCTCATAAAACCTTCACTGGTTTTTTGCCAAGTGATCAGAAAGCATTATGTTCCAGAAAACAGTTAAGAGTTCCAGAAGACTTCCTAGCAAACACTTTTCTTCAGAGAATGAGCAATAACAAGGCGACAGTCTCAATCCTGCATTTGAATTCCAAAAACAAGTGGGATTTATTTCGAATCCTCCCTTACCTTAAATGTAGATGTTCTGTATAAGTATCTAAGGGAGCAAGAAAGAATGGCTTCCTACTTCCAGCCCCCACCAAAACATGGGGGTGGGTTGAGAGAGATTTAGAAAATATAATAGCAGAAAATAAGAGCTGCTGTAAGAAGCAGTCATTAATAGGGCTGTTTTCTTCCACTGCCAGAGGCAGAGGATAAGGAAGTGAAGAGACAGGACACTATTACTCAGAAACTAGTAACAGTTCATTCTAGAGAAAGCCGGTGGTTGAGAGCTATTTACCATTACCCAGCAAACTGCAACTGGCCAAATCACTTCAGATTAGCGTTCAACAGGTGGGAAAATAAAGCAGCACTGAAGCGGCAGCACCTCACGCGTCCTCTCTCCTTTTCTGGAGAACACAGACCCAACTATCCTACACCACAGACCTCCTTTTAGCAGCTCAGAAATGAACCTGATTTCTGTTCATACTTAAAATGTATATAGTCAATGGATTTGAAGATTGTGAGTGTAAAAGTGTGAACACCGAAAGGAAAATATTTTATTATGAAAGGGGGAAAAATTAAAACTTAACTCACCGGTTTGCTCTTACCCTATGCAAACATAAATGTAGCAGTTCAAATACAGAATAAAATCCAGTATCATGAATAAAATCCAGCCCAAGGAGGAAAAAAACCCTCTCGTTGTATTAATCAAGTTGCACCAAAACCCTTCAAAACATTGCTTCCTCGGCGGGACTCTAGAACTCTGGACATGAAGACAGACTGCACGATAATGCTAAACCCACAAACACACTTCAGGTCTTTTCTCGACCAACTTTTAAACTGATTGCTTTTGGGGGGGGGGGGTTACTTTAAAAAAATAAATTTCAAAAAGAAAGCACATTTAAAACATCATGTTTTGGTGACCCAGGTAGGTAATGTAATTTTATTACAAATTTCAGGATCTAAAAAGTAATGTTACATAGACTAAGAGAAATCTGAGATGACTTGTGTCGAGCATGTGTCCTGCAGTGACGCTGATCCTCAGCCATGAACAGACACAGCCCCGTTCCCCTACAGGGGTGGGATCAACCACAGGAAAGAAAACGCTGCTGATTCTCAACTAGCACATACTGATTAGATCGTTTTTGGTTTATCACTCTGGCATTTGGACTGTGAAGAGTTCAGTGCAGAAGCCTCCATTCTTGAACTCTGAAAGCCAAACTAGAATCTTGAGGGTAGTTTTGAGAAATTCAAGTTTAACTTTTCCTATTTTTTTTTTATTTCAGTGATATTTAAGGAGCTTTTCTATATTCATTAAGATTTATGATTCAGTTGGTCTGTGAGCCCTAGTATGCAAATCCTCACCACATGGCAAGAGACCGCAGGAGCTGGTTGACTTCTTAATGGAGTAAGAAGACTGACGCCAGGTACCGGGTTAACATACAAGCCCTGGTTAGAGACGGTGGCCGTCCAGCAACAGGTGCTGCCAACAGGTAATCATATGGGCAGCTGGGTGGCCACAACAAAAGGCTGGACCTAGGTCCCCTAGGCCATCTGCCTGTTTCTGAAAGAGAAATCTCTCTAGCCGGTTACTTGGCCTTTGCACTCAACGGCAGGGAGCCCTAGGTCTCTTACACTTTTTAAGATTACTAAAGGCAGCATCTTTACAAGGGGAGCTGTAGGAAGTGTCAGGGGCTTAATGGGCGCAGAGCAAGCACCCTCCCATGGGGTGTCCGAAGGAACCTGGGGGTGAAGAGGGAGTGCAGTACCTGAGAGGCAGCTGTGACAGAAAGGGAGAGCACCCTCACACTACAGGACTAGGAAGGTGGGAAGAAAAGAAGAGCCCAAAAGGAGGCTACAAAACAGCAGATTCATCAATAAAGATGAAATTCCAAAGGCAGGGCAGGAACGATCAGCAGCCGGGGCATGCCCAGCTAAGCCCTCCGGGAGTTTCCATCCCAGATCCTTCCAAACTGACCCTCCCACTAAAGTGGATCTCAACCGGGAATAACTTTACCCTCGGGGACATTTGGCAAGGTCGGGAGACATTTCTCATTGTCACAACTGGGGGAAGGGTGCTACTGGTATTAAGAGGGTGAGGCCAGGGCTGTTGCTAAACACCCTACAACACAGGCCAGTCTCCTACAACAAAGAATTGTCAAGATGTCATTAATGCCAACGTTGAGAAACCCTGTTCTAGAGGGAGTACTTTGCTCCTAAGATTCTGAATCTAGCATGAGTCAAGGCCCTTGGAACTTAGAATCAGACAAACACCCTCTACCTCAAGCCCTAGAATGGGGATCTGCTGTGTTGAACAGAAGCCCCCAATTATCCCAGAGTTGCACCAATGTCCAATGAGCTGCTGGCGGTTCAAATTCAGTCAATACAACTAAAACCTTACATCTTGTTGTCTTCCTCCTCTCCCGGACAATCTACTTCTTTCTCAGAGCCAGTGCTACTCCAACTGCCATAGCCAGGAGGGCCACAGCAGCAGCCCCTCCAAACAGCAGAACAGACTTGCCCTCAGCAAAGGGCACAGCCTTCTCTTCGCCAGCAGGGGCGGGCCCTTCCATCACACTCTTTTTCCTTGTAGTTACCCCCTCTTCACGCAGCAGCTTTTTCATGGGCTCCAGGGCAGGGATCACTACCTCCTCCAGTTCAACAGGCTCAGTTGTTGCTGCTTTCACCTCTTCTTCATCAATTTCTATGAACAAAGATGTGGGAGGGCTCACTTTCTCAACTGCAATAATTTCTGTGTCGGGGTCCCTTGTCTCCAGCAAGGATGTGGCAGTGATATGTGGAAGCAAGGAAGCTGGTGCGTCAGGGAATGCTTCTTGCAGCTCCCTGGTTGACAAGACCATAGAAGCCGCAGCAGCCTCTTCCATGCCTTCAGGTATCTCTTCTTTCTCCACATGCACAATGTCAGAATTGGAAGAGTTGTTCTCACTCTTCTCTCCAGCCCCATTACTATCTAAGCTCTTGACTTCTTCAGGATCCATGGCGATCTGCTGCCAGGACTCAGGACCGAGGGACACTGGCAGGCTCTCTGTGTGCCAACTCTGACTGGCTGACAGTGAAACAGGTAAGCTCTCTGACTGCCAAGAAGTGGTCACAGTCGGAGACTCTGGGGGACTGATTTGTCCAGAGTTGTCACTGGGCAGGATATAAATGTCATTGCTGTCTTCCGCTGTGATTCCAGGGTATTCCTCCTCTGGCTCAAGATTAAAGACCGTGCCCTAGAGAGAGATCAATGTGAAGAGTGATAAATATATTGAAAATAAATAGAAATCTTAAACAGTTCTTTCCTAAAATGAAATTCCAGGTTTAAATATTTTAAAACCTATGTAGCTTCTGGATTGAATGTAGTTACTTGTATAATGATGCAGAGGAAGAATTTTTAACAAGATCAGCTTCCTTGAAGTCAAAAAGTTAATTTATATTCAATTTAATATATATGTTCAATGCAAAACAGCAGAGAAAAAAGGCAAGAACCTTGCTCTCAATAATGAACAAAAATAGGGCCTCCCCGGTTGCGCAGCGGTTGAGCGCTGGGTTGCGGGGCTGCCTGCGGCCTCTGCAGCATCGGTTCGATCGATCCCTGGCTGCTCCCCGGCCATCGGAGGAGGGTCCCGCATGGCGCGCAGACCTCTCCTGCCGCCCGCTGCTCCCCTCAGCAGTGTACTTCGGTCCTTCTGCCTGCTCTGCTCCCCGCTCTGGCGAATTCTCTCACCCTCCCGCGCTTCTGACTGTACCCAGTGCTTGTATAAATAAATAAAAATCTTCAAAAAAAAAAAAGAACAAAAATAATGTTATTGCGCGTTCACATGGGAAAACTTCTTTTGGACATTGGAGTGGGCAGGGAGATCCCCGAAAGCTTCATGGAGGAACCAGCGCTTCTACTGGACAGCTGAAGGATGAGTAGGAGTCCATGCTCAAAGTCTCATAGAAAATACCAGCAAAATACTGCAGGGGAGGAGGAGGGAGGGAGGAGCACAGGGGACTGAGGTGATGGTGCACGGGTGCCCTGGGGAAGGAAATTCTATGGGGACTCAATCTGAGGGGGTGCGGGGAAGCAAATATTGTCTAAAAAAAGTAAAAAATGATAAATATTAAAAAAAATTAATCTAAAAATAAGTAAAACATGAAAAAAAAGAATACCAGCAAAAATACAGAAACATAAAAAAGTGGAACAGCCAGTACCCCAGTTTAATTAGTCACAGTGTACATGAAGACTACAGTTCAGTTAGGACAGGACTGCAGGGGACTCTGACAGACAGCTAAGAAACATGGACTTTATCCAATAGGCAATGATTTGTCACTGAAATCTTTTGAGCTATAAAATGATCAGCAGAGAACTACCTAAAATTACTCTGATTGCAATTCCAGAATGGAGGGACACCAGATATGTGGGCCACTTGCTTCCCTCTTTAGCAAGAGTCTACTTAAAACAAAAACAAATAGTGTAGGGGCCTCCCTGGTGGCGCAGCGGGCTGAGCGCTGCCCTGTGAAGCTTTTTGCAGCCTCTGCAGCGTGGGTTCGATTCCCAGCCGGCCAGGGAGAAACCCACATGGCGTGGCAGACCTCTCCTGCCTCGCCCACCGCTCCCCTCAGCAGAGTCCTCGGTCTGTCTGCCTGTTCTGCTCCCCACTCTGTCTCTGGTGAATTCTCTCACCCTCCACCCCATGCTTGTATAAATAAATAAATCTTTTTAAAATATATATAAATTTAAAAAAATACTGTGCGGATGTGAAGACTGACCTGTGAATAACGAATTTCAATATGATCTGGTAAGTTGTAAGGTAGGTGCACATACACAGAGCTAACAGAAGCAGGGGTTAAGACATGGTCAGAACAGCAGGAAAGAACCGGTGGAATGGAGTAGCATAGAGACCTACAGGAAGTTTTACAAAAGTCTGGATGATACTCTTATTTGCTAATGAGTGGTTGAATAGGATGTGTACAATAAATTCCTACTTTATTGTACGATGATGGCTGAATACTTTAAGCTATTTTATTCTTCTATCAAGACCAGAAGTTTCTGTGTACACCAAGGCTCTAAAATAAATCAGTCGCATTTGCAGCAGCACCGCCAAAAGAAAATCAGAAATAAAACTAAGCAAATCACATGGTCATAATGTCAGCATTCCAATTGCCCCACATTCTACTTTAATTCACTTAAGCCTCCTTAAAAAGAGGTCCTTGGTAGATCTCAGAGGCAGCCCATAAATGAACATAAGCAGAGAGACCAATTTAAAAAACAACTTTTGTAGGAAGAAAGAATTGGTTTGAATCCCAGCTTCACCAGGCACCAACTCAGTGAATTTGGACGGCATACTTTTAAACTTCAATTTCTTCATAAATTAAATGGGGATGACTGATTTGATAGGATTGTTACAAAATTAAATAATAGCATTTATAGTGCTTAGCACAGTATCATGTACATAGTAAGCAACAATAAATTATGCTATTTTTCCATTATTATTGTTTTTGCTGTCATTTTTTAAAAGATTTATTTATGCATACAAGAACTGGGGCATAGGCCAGAGATGGGGGGCCAGGGGGTTGAGAGGATTCACCAGAGACAGAGTGGGGAGCAGAACAGGCAGATCTACTGAAATACACTGCTGAGGGGAGCAGCAGGCAAGACAGGAGAGGTCTGCTGTGCCATATGTGGGTCACCTCCCTGGCCTGGGATCAAATTAACCCCTAGGCCACCAGGGAGGCCCTCTTTTATTCTTTCATAGCATTGAAATTTAAATTCATAACATTTACATAACACAAATTCACCATTTATAGATGTACAATTCAGCTGTTTTCAGCACAGTCACAACGGTGTACATACATCACTGAGCACTCCCCATTTCCCCTTGTCCACCCCCTTGCAACAGCTCATTTCTGTCTTTATGGCTTTGTCTATGCTGGTGAGCACTTACCAGTACCTGCTAACAGCATGTGTTCAAGGATCGTCCCTGTTGTTGCAGGTATCCTTAGTTCCTTTCTTTTAATGGTGCTATATTTCATTATAAGGACATACCACCTTTTGTTATTAATTCATCAGCTGGTTGACATCTGAGTTATCTCTAGTTTTTGGTTATTGTGAACAGTGCTTCAGTGACCTTCACAGACAAGCTTTTCCTTAACTACCTACTTCCAGTTCTTTTGAATTGGAGTTATTGGGTCATACAATTTTTAATTTTATTTTTCATTTATTGAGGTGCTACCAAACTACTTCCCAAAGTAAATGCACCATTTTATACTCTAACCAGCAATGTCTCAGAGTTCTAATTTCTTCACATCCTCCTCAATACTTGCCACTATCTGATTTTTTAAATTATAGCCATCGGGCCTCCCTGGTTGCGCAAGGGGGTAAGATGCAACCTATGAAGCTATCTGCAGCCACTGCAGCATGAGTTCGATCCCCGGCCAGGGAGCAACTCACATGGCACAGCAGACCTCTCCTGACTCACCCACTGTTCCCCTCAGCCTTCAGTCAATCTGCCTGTTCTGTTCCCCACTCTGTCTCTGGTGAATCCTCTCATCGCCCCCACCCCCACTTCTGGCCTGTACCCCAGTTCTTGTATGCATAAATAAATCTTTAAAAAAAATTTTTTAAAAAATTATAGCAATCCTGGGGGAGGGGAAGTGGTATCTCACTGTGGTTTTGTTTTTCTCTAATGACTAATGGCTTTTAGCATCTTCTTCATGTGCTCACTGGCCATTTGTATATCTTCCTTGGAATAAAATCTTATTCACATATTTTGCCCATTTTAAAACTGGATTACTATATTCCTGAATTAACATTTTCGTCTATTGTTTTTAAACAAAACTGCTGCTCAGCTGGATATTAAAATAACCAATTGTCTGGGAACAAGAGTACTTTTAATTAGGTTGAGCCTAAATGAAACAGATAATAAAAAGTACTAAAGTAACTAGTAGTCTATGCTAATTAATAATTTTAGCCTTAAAAAGTCTCCTCTGCCATCAATGCCATTACTTGTATGTACTATTTTTCTAGGCTTCAAACTCCACATGACTTAAAAGGGACCTAATATAACTATGATCTTAATGATATTCAATCTCTTTTATACTTTCATTATATTTTCATCAATATAATGGTAATACAAAAGCACTCGACAGTTCTGGGACTACCATCAATAATAAATGATAACAGAGAGTCCCTTACAATCAGTGCAGCACATAAAGGCTGCACATCAATAGCAGACGTCATTAATTAGAGAGAGCCAGAAAAGAATACTTGTCCTACCGAAGAACAGGAAGTACAAATACTACTTCTACATCATTCTGTCTTATCCCAGACTTAGTAATTTTTCATTCTAGTTAGCATCTTCTTCTAGTTACTCATTAAGTGCTAAATATATGTCAAAATATTCATTCTTAAGTGACCCTTAACATGTCTAAATCTATTTTCCCTTTCAACACCTTCTATTTTTCTAGCACAGCAATCACTTTCACCAGAACTAATGCAAAAGGCTCCTTTCTTCTTGACCCTGTAATCCAATGTGGAGATGAGAAACACCATTTCACAAGTCAGCTAAGCCAAAAAGCTAAGAGTCATATTGTATTTCTCCCGCTTCTGAAGAAGTTGCTTCTTATTGCTGGGAAGTGTGCTACTTAGAGGCTAGTGATAAAACCATATCACCTCTGCCCTCACAGAGTTTAAGATGGAGATTAAAATCTAGTGAAAGAGACAAAGAGAGAAACTTATTTGGGGATTCATCAAAGGCCTCTTCGAAGAGAGAACAATAGAGCTGGATCTTAAAGAATAAATAACAACCAACAAACCAAGATGGTCCAAGGAGCAGAAAAGCACAAATAAAAATACGGCACTGAGAAACCTCTTATCATATGTAGGCAACTAGTGGGTCTTCTATATTTCAATGCATAGGACAGTAAGTGAAGAAACACAAAGGTAAAAAAGTAGGGAAGATGAGGCATGATGCATGAATGGAAAGTAAAATATCAGTGTCTTTCTGGATATAAAACAAGGATATGCCTCTGTCTAACAGAAGGTCAATGTTTTCCCACAGTCTTGCAGACTTTGACAAAGATCTTGGTTCTATTGAAAAATGATTTTTCTATTGAAAAAAATCTTTCTGGGGCCTCCCTGGTGGCGTAAGGGGTTAAGACGCAATGTACGAAGTTGTCTGCAGCTGCAAGTTCAATCCCCAGCTGGGGAGTTTCCCACATGGTACAGCAGACCTCTCCTGGCTCTCCC